ATGCCCGGAATGTCCAGTACTTATATGAAACTGGAGTTCTTTTTTTTCCAAATGATTAGGCTTTGTTAAAATAAGCTGAGAGATGGAGAAAATGCATGTATATAATTAACGAGTGGTCATTATATTGAATTATTTACTGCATTATCACACTATTAATATGCTATTAATAATTATGGTGAGCCAGTGTTTTGCCACTGCCCCATCATAGCTGAATGTGTTGCGGCTAAAACCTCTGCATCTTTTCAGACTGCTGCAACTTGTGAACCATCATTTGTGGTGTTACTTTATGTTTGCAAACTGTGCACTGAAACCCCAGTGCAAAGGTCTTTGTAAGCAGCCGGTTACAAATGAGTGATGATGATTTTGTCGTGCCAAACAAGAATTTCTTGCAGCATTCATCTGCATTAACTCTTTGAGAGTCAACTCAGTGCAGCACTATGTGACATTTTCTTCTCCCTTAAAAGCAGTGTACAACAGAAACTGATACTGCCAGAGTGTCTGAGCTCCAAATCACAGTAAAGAGCAAATTAATTACTAGTAGCAGTAGAGCTTCTATTTTTAGTGATGTCAGGACTCAAATGTTAATTGTCTCTAATTTTTAAAGACTGTTTTTGTCACTTTTAATCTCTTGCATGTCCTTACAGTTGACAGCCCTTTCTCTCAGGATAAGGAAGATTTTTGAAATAAGCTAGAAAAATGAATCCGGTGCTTGTTCTATATACTGTATTAACAAGTTATATAAACAGTTTCCTCCTTCCATTTTTCATTGCATACAGTGAAAAGAGATTAAGATTATTTAGATTTATATGGCTAGATACTACAGCTTTTTCATATTTACATTGTCTGCAAGAGATAAATCAAATGTGGGCTTTTGCCTTCAAGGATTAGATGTTTATTATATGAATTGTTCTGGAAGTGAGTAGACCTAAATAACATGCAGTTGTTATAACTGTGATTCAAAAGTGTGATTTTTCACTTCTGTATTTCAGTTTTGGGGCATATGTAATCTTAGAACTTAGTTGGAGAACAGCGTGCCTTCAGTGCAGCCATTCCTCTAGTTGGCTGTCTGGTAATTTCCAGACTAACGGTGTCAGCAATTGAAGCTGTGAACCATGCTGAGATTGGCCCTAGACTCAAATCCTGTGAAGTCCTGAACTGCACTGCAGTGGACCATTATTTGGATATGGCCTGCATCATTTCCACCATGGTATGGTGCAAGACAGTATAGCTTCAGTATGACTGACAATTACACTGAGTCAGTAAGTCTTGGTGGTCTTAGCCAGTTCTCAGTAGCATGTCCCAAGGCAATCAGATACACAGAACTTTCTGTCCCTTGGCACAGTCCGCCTCCTTCCACTTGGAAGCCGTAGGAGTTGCGTGTCTGTTGAAATACACTCACTATGGGGAGAGTTCATAAGTAATTTGTTCTTTCTGAACTGTGGATTTCAAGTTTCTTTTGAAGGTGCATCTGATCATAAGCAATAAGTAAATAAAGACTTTTTAAAAATGTAAATCAAATATCTCACTTCTGCTTGCTCCTAATAAACCCAGTTCTGCACTTACATGAGGAGGCATCTCCTAATGCCTTGCTTTGTGCAATGTGTTGACAAATGAAGTGCACCTACACTTCTTTAGAAAGAGTGCGAGGTGCAGCCTACACACAGAAGCAGGAAGATAGTTGAGAAGAAGCTGGATAGAAAAGCAGTTTGTGATGACTCTTAGAGACTAAGATCTTTGCGTTTTCTATTATCCTCAAATTCCTTCTTCTAAAGTGTGCCTGGAGGCAGTACCTAGTCTCACTGCTGCACAAACAAATGCTTCTGACTCTGCACCCTGCATAGTAATGTAATCTCACACTACCTGTGAAAAGTACTCAAATGTATGTATGCAAGTGTACCAGCCTTTCTGCTTGACCCTTTCAGGTAAAAAGCAGCTGATGCTGTCATTTCATATAGAGCAGATAGTAGAGACATGCAGATAGTTCAGGAGAATGTGTTTTATGCAACTGCAAAAGAACTGCATTAAGGTTGATATCATTTCTGTTTCTTCTATTTTTCTTCTGTTTTAAGTTTAACATTTGTTAATCTCTCTGCCTAGTATCTTTTCCATTGGGGCTGTAGATCTTTGCAATATTAGATGCGTGCCTATTGGGGAAAATATTTTCCTCTTTACTTTACACAGGCTCTTACAAATAGTTATATAATAATGCTTGGGGAATTTGCATTATGCCTTCCATAAAATCTGACAGGATATCGATGGAAGTGTTCTACTTTGCTCACTTTTATTGTTGATTGAACTATTTAGCAAATTGCTGATGTATTTGTTGAAAGTGAATGTCTCATCTGTATCTTTTTTAAAAAAAATTTCAGCATGTTGGAATGGCATGTATCTTATGCAAGCCCATTGATATTATGAGGTAGAACCTAGTGCCTGCCACTTTCAGCTTTTTCATCCCTTCTAGCACACATACATGAAGCTACCACTCGTGTAAGAAGAGTTACAAAGAAATGTGGTCGCTCTCTAATGGCTGGTGGTGCAGCGTAGCTGGCAGGTGGGTTGGGATGGTGTCCTTGTTAGCTTTCTGTGGAGTTGTGGTGGTTGTGTTAGCAGAACTCAGTGTTTGTCTTTGATGCCAAGAGGACTGTGAGGGGAAAGTGCTAATGGTCACTATCCCTGAGCACCTGCAGGTGATATAAAGGTAAGATGTCTACATAGGTTGTGCTCTTGCACCACTGCTGGAGTTGTACCAAGGGGACGAAATTGAAGGCCTTCCTGGCACATTCTAGTTTTAAAGAGTTCAAGTCCAATTTTCTGTGACTTTCTTCAGTGGACATCACCAATGCTTTGTCACACCTGGAGAAAATCTGCTTGTTGTGAGATGCTGGATGGGTTACAGGACAGGGCAACTTAGCAGCCAGTAACAGTAAGTGCAGGGAGCTCACTGAAAGCTGTGGGGGATTTGATGAGGTTAAGTAACTGAGAAAAGAATGTAATATTATTTCTTGGCAGAACTTAGATGCTTTTTGAACTTGGCCTTCAGTCACTAACCGAAACACAAGGACTTTAAGCGCACACACAAGTTTTACAAATAACAATTATTCCATCTTTTGAACTCTTGATGGCATGCGTGGATGTGGCTTAGTGCTGTGATTGACCAAAAGAAACGTTCATTAGCAAAGGCAGCTTTATATGATGGAAAAAAGGCAGGTAATTAAAGCTGAATTTAACATCTATACCTAGAGAAGCTTGACACGTAGATGTGCCTGATGTGTACACTAAAAGCACAGGTTACTCCTTCTGTATATGATATTGAAAATATGGAAACATACAATGTTAATGGTGTAGTTATAATCACTCCATGCCCCAGTGTTTTTCCTGGTGTTGCATACTGTACTGCACACAAACAGTTTTACTATTCTAAGTAGTACTAGTATGAATACTCATTGTAAATGTTTTGTATTTGACCTAGGTTGTAAGATGTATTTCTTAATTACTTTTTTGACCTCTTCATACATCTCTTATCACAAGGTAAGATGGGAGTGTATGTTAACGTAGGGAAGTTAAATCTTCCACCACCTCTTACTAATCTCACTGTTCAAAGGTTTGCTTTTTGCTTAGGGAAATCTAGAGCATATAAGGAGAAGACAGAAGTTATGGTAAAATAATGAGTGTCTGAGATTGAAGTCTACCTTTGTATTTCTACCTTGTAGTTTTACAGTACTGCTGGGTACATTAGGGAAAGCTAGTTTATGACAAGCTTTAAAAAAACCAACAAAACAGCTTGTTTAATCAGGTGATGTAGGAGGAGAATATTTGCTTTTGAAAATTCTTCTCATTTCTCTGCTTGTCCTTGCATTTTGTGTATCGAGTTTAGAGCTAAGGGATTATTTTCTGTCTGTTTACAAGCTATCTGCCTTTGTATTTCTAATGATGTGTGCCTGGGCCTGTGGAGGCACCACATCATGTATTTTGATAGTTGTAGTATTTTGAGCAATTAAATATGTTTGGGGAACTATACTAATAGATAATATGAAAGGGACCAAATTATAGCTCCCATATATGACTTCTCTTTTTAATGAATATTTTAAAACATGCTTCTCAAGATAAACCAAACAGAAAAAAACAATAATTACAAAAAAAGTAAATAAAAATAACCACGACACAAACTTAGATCAGAAATCCAGTTTCCCTTCAGCAGAGACATGTTTGATATCTTACAGTAGCTTAGTCAAATACCAGGATCACGAAAGATAGTATTCATGTACATCTGGCTGTCAGACTATTGGTTAGAAAGTGGTATTATGTAGGTCATTCCAAAAGTAATACCTCTTATTTCCAAGGAAACGACAACTACAGAGAGCATAATAAGACTGATGGAGAAAACTCTCAGCTACAAAATGCCATTTTTCAACATGGTCACTACCATTAGTTCTGCATTTTCACCAATGGTGTACAAGAGTCTGCAAGTCATGCTTGTAAAAAAATCTACACCAGCTGAAGGAATCCACTGTTTCCCAAATGCTATGATGGTGTCGTTGTTAAGCAAGCATTGCCCACACAGCCCAACTTTCAGTGCATCAGTGTTTTGTTTTTGGTCTCCATAAATGTTCAGCAAGAAATAATGAATGTCAGTGGTTGCAGTGTTTTCCACATGGAAGTATTCACTGAGACACCTTTGCTTCGTATGCTGTTCCATGTCAGATGCCATTTTGTCAGACTGCCCCTCTGCTGCTATCTGTTGCATGGCAGCAGAATGCAAGAGGAGGTTCAGCTTCTACTGCTCTTACTTTGTGGGCTGTCATAATGAAATAGGATATATTACTTTCAGAGCAGTTCTCTTACACACATCCCTTTAAAATCACCTCTAATATATATATATATTGAAAAACTATATATATTAAAAAGAAAAGAAAATATACATGAATAATTCTCTCATTTTTGTAAAGTAACAAAAAAAAAAAATTGATTTGCCTTATTTTTATTTTTCTTCCTCCTCTCAGGTTCATACCACTGTCATACCTGATCACAAGGAGCCAAGAGCAGATGTTGGAGTAAGCAATTTTTGTTTATTAATGGATTTGTCACCTCATCAACAGACACAGGCATAAAGGAGAAATGGCATTCTGCTTAACTGCTGAACAGGAGCTGGCAAGCTTGTTTTTTTTTTTTTTAGAAAAAGTTGATTTAAGTGAATAAAGAATCAAGGGAGGAGCAACGTGCTTGGTGATTGATGTCATCCCATTCACTAATTGTTTTCAGTTGAAATTATCCTGAGGCAAGCACAACTACCTAGGCTTCTTGCTACTTGCCATACAAGCCATCTGGATTGAAAGCACAGAATTGCATTATCTGAATGAGCCTTGCCAGTTGCTTTCTCATTTTCATATGCAGAGTATAAACAGTGCAGAATATAAACAGTCCTGCCAGTCTGGTCTATTTTTGGCAAAGGTATTGGGATTTCTTTTTTGGTTTTGAGAAGGCTAGAGTCTCCCAGATAATATGCAGGTCTTGGGGGGTAGGAAAACATTAGTCCTGCTAGAGCTGAATAAAAGACCAAGCAGGATCTGGGATTTTTACGTTCGAAGTCTTAGCTGTCGAGTTTCCTGCATTATCAGACCTTCCTTGGCATAGTTTCCAGCACTTCAGCTAGTGTTCAGAAAACCTGTAATTTGGCAGCACTTACAGGCTTAGTGAAGTAATCAATGTGTTTCATCTTCTTATGTAACTATTACAGAGGCTTTTCTCTTTGGCTAGGTGGGATAATTCATCAAACTAGTCAAGACTCATATTTTCAGATTTATAACCATAAGTATTCCACTAGCAAAATTATGTTGGATTATTGCTCTGTAATTAGAATTACAGCAGCTGTTTTGTTTAAAGTCTAATTTTTAAGTGCAAAGTCCGACTGGTTTGTAGACTGCCAGTTTAGGCCCCCAGGATACACAGTTAGTCTCCAAATCAGTTTGAAAAAAGTAATGTCCAGCATGATTTGGAATTAGACCCCTTGAACTCTGCACTTAGGTCGTGGAATTATTCACAATTGTAGTTAATTTTGCTAATAATTCCTAATTGCATTGCCGGGTAACGGAAGCTTTAGTATAGATAAATGTAAGAATATGAGGCAAGCAAATAAGTGGATTTATTGTTTTTAAATCCCATAAAATTATTCAACTTCAATTTTGTTATTCTGCAGGGCTAGTTGGGGCACTCAGAGATTAGTGGGTTAGTGGGTATAGTGCCTGAGGCTCCTAGATTCTATGAAAGGACTGTGTAATCACCTCTTAACCTTGATCGTATGAGACTCCTGTTTTGGATTCTGGAACGGATTTGTAATCTTTGTACTGGAGCAAGAAGCACCAAACTTGTATCAGTTTTGTTTGTGCCACTGTAGAGTTTTAACGGAAAAAATGCTGTCATGACTGATCTAAAGGAAGATGGAAATGTCTGTGTGTCTACTCTAGCAAGACTGTGCATCATCACACCTGCGCATATTGCTAACAAGTATATATTTCACTTGGCAGTGAAAATATATACTAACCATGGTCTTGTATGACTGTCATTTTTCATGATAAATTTTGTATCCGCTTTTATTTTGGCTTCTTGCCTGTCCAGCATTTCCCAAATCCACTGTTTTCCCAGCCTTCCCTAGACTCTTAGCTTCCGTCACTTTTTTCCTCTTCTAGTTAAGTGCCAACCAAAACACAGGAAATGAATTGCTATCTATTTTAAGCCTGTATTTGTGATAGGAATAAGCTGTAACAGTTGATCTAGCTTATCAAGTTAATTCTGGTGTTGTGGCTTATGTAAATTGGGGATTGGGGTTTAAACGATATGCGTGAAAACCTATCATGGTATAGATATAATATCTATATTATTATATAATAATATCTATACTAAGATCTATATAATAAATATATAAATATATATTTATAGCCTTATGTAAATATTCAATATCTAGCTGAACATTCTTGAAAGAAAACAGACTGCAGGCTTCTTTTTGTTGTTGTTTTTTAACCAAAGGAAGATGTTTACTCAGTAGTAACAAATCCTCATTTTCCCCCAGGTTTGCAGTTGGTCTCTGTGTGTTGTGTGTTGATTTCACATAAGAGCAACTTGATTTTTCTTGAATTTGGAGATCCAAGACTCTATATAGCTTTCAGTGGTATTTTATTTTGATTTCAACAGTGGAGTGAAGTCAGGGTAGAATAACAAACACAAACATGTTTCTTTTGATAAAATTTGCAAAAATGCAAAATAAAATAGTTAAACATTATTTATGACAAGCAGTATTCAGTAGTGTATTTAAAATAAATGCACAGAAGCTGATGGTAGACCGTTTTCTCTACCTTTGTTCGTAGATCAAGGCCAACACTCCTTTACTTGACTAAATGAGATTGTAGTATTAGGTAGCGGAGTATGAGCAGGGAGTAAAAATAATGAAAAGCCAAGGAAGATAAGTTCCTCATTAGTTTCTCTTGGACCCACTTCTCCAGCATATTCAGGTCTCTTTGGATGGCTTCCCTTCCCTCCAATGTATCAGCTGCACCGCTCAGCTTGATGTCATCTGCAAACTTGCTGAGGGTGCACTCAGTTCCATGCAGGAATATTGCAAGGTACCAAAGAAAGATTTGAAAACCAAAAAAAAGTAACAAAATTTCAAAAAATTGATAGAAAATTTTTCTTTCTGCTTCATTTTGTAGCGAAGCTTCCTGGGCTGTACAACTTTTACAGTAGGAGACTTGGTGAAGTCAAAGGAACAACAGTTGACCCTTACCCTCAGGTGAGTGTTTTCATCTGTTGTGAGCCAGATCAAGTAAATAATCCATAGCATTTGATGATTCCTGATTGACTGTTTGAAACTCTGTATTCCTTTGCTTATGTTAGATATCAGCCTGAAGTGCTTCTGTTTCTACCATACACTAAGACAAAAAGAAATACCAATTATTTAATTTTATTAGAAAAGGTAGTAATTTTTTGGTGTAAACGTATGGATGAATTTCAGGGAAGTAGAGGATTTTGTTTCACAGTTTCCATTAGAAAGGAATGTAAGATTCTCAGTTTGGTTTCATACATGTGTCTTAAAGATTAAGCATTGTAATATTTGCTAGTTTGGTTACTAGCCATATTTAAAGATGATGGATATAATGAGATAAGTCTTCTCTCAAGTGTGAAATCAATGCAGTATCCTAACCTCATCATTACATGCAGCCAAATGTCATTGGGGCTTGATGTACAACGCTGTTCAGTGACATAACACTTACCTGCCGGAGAGTCGTGACCAATGTTTGAAAACTAGGGTTGTGCTGAATAGATATTTATAAAAGCTCAGCACTGATAAATACAGTTTTCACCTTTAGTGCTGGCTTATGGTTATAAAATATATTAAGAGATGAATGAAAACCATTTTAAGATTAGGGAAACGTTTTAGCTTGTGATTTTTCAGTATGAATCCATTGGATTCAGACATGGTATTGATTTGTTTTTGCAGTCACAATGGAAATTTATTTGGGATGACTGGATAGGCATAGGTAAAATTCTCTGAGCATCATGTTTCTACATAGCACAGTTTGAGGGTAAGAAATTTTGGCTAAGAAAGCTGAGACAAATGGTACAAGGTACTCTAAGTCTTCTGATATGTGTTCTGCCTGCAGTATTACAAATAGGTGCTGTAAAAAATAAGTTGTTACATATTTCGTTTTACATATGAGTTGAAAATGAAGCCAGCCTTAAGTTCACTATTCGAAGTCCAGTGGTGTTGTCATAGTTCGATCATGTCAGTGTCCTCACTTTTGAAAGGAAACCTTTTGAAATATTTTTTCTATTACTGTACCAGCCTTCCAATTGTAGCATTAATTGTTAGATATATATTTAACTTGCAGGAAGAGGTTGAAATGCCTTGATTACACTTTCACCCAAGTACAGAATATGCCACATATATACCAAGAGGATAATTTTTTTTTTTGACGAAACAGGACTGGGTAAGAACGAACTGATGGAAATGTTTGGTTAAATAAATACCAAGTATTTAAAAGTCTATTCTTACAGGATTTCAAATTTTCAAGGTCATTTTTGCAGTGGTTCAGTATGTGACCTTTGTGTCTTAGACTTCCTTATCAAACAATCACTATAAAATAGTACATATATGAACTTTTCCCTATTAGAATTCAGAATCTCCATACAGCCAGTTTTAGCAGGATTCCATCCTGAAATGATTTCTTGGCTGCTTCATGTCATTGTCATCCACCACAGGAAGCAGATAAATAAGTCAGGTGAATCTCCCAAAGATTTGAGGGGAAATGTTATGCTGAAATAATGAAAACAGAGAATGGATTGAACATTGCAGAACTTCCTGTATTTATATGACCATTTTATAAAACATCAGTGAACTTGTTTAAAATCCATATTGATTGAGATAGACTCCACTGTGGTTCCACAGAATAAACAGAAGGCAACAAGATTTTTGTACCAGTACAGTAGTTTTGTGCTTACATATTTCAGAATGTATTGGAGAAAATGGATTTTATGGCAGTTGATACGTTAGCCTGTACTAACTGCATTTGTTGTATATTATGCACTGGAGAATGGGGCTGCCTGCTTGACTGGAAATCATGCCATTTGCTTTTCAAGCAGTCAGTAGCTTTGTCATTTATAATTAACACTGTTATGCAAATACACAGTCTGTTTTTCTTTTTCTTTCTGTTCTTAAGCCTTTTTTGGGGAAGAAGGGTATAGCCATGGGAACCAATTAGCAGGCCTGAATTTGCATATTCACTATGCAGTTACGAGACTTAATGAGAAGTGCATTGGAGGTGAATAACTACTGTTTTCAGTCCATCTAGCTCACCTGCTTCTTCATTGCTAACTTGTTTCTTCCTTCCTTTCTGGATGCTTGTGTCAGCCTTTTATCATTAGAGGCATTGAGGTGGATGTTTCTGTTGCTCAGGGCAGTTCTAGGTAGCTCTTTCTTTCCTCTTTGATGGAACTGGTATTAGCCTGGTGGTCCTCAAGGACTTGGGGTGGTAAGCAAACCTGTATGTATAATAAATTCTCCAATAATTTTAGAAGCAATTGTAGTTTTAAGCCTGAGCTGATTTCAAGACAACTTCAAAAGTATCTGTATTTGACTTGGCAAACTAAACAATGATCTTGTATAGCACTAATGGAACTACTGCTTTAAGTTTGAAACCTACTGCTTCACTTGGAACTACGCCCCTAGGGTTTATGAGAAGATGGGGCTTGAATTGCTCCAGCGTAGGTGGGTGCAAACTGACATGGGACTATGGCTGCAGCAGATGGAGTGAGTACTGCAGGAAGAAGGCAGGTTGGACTGAGTGGGAAGGGATAGACTGAAGCATTGCCAGCTTTGCTACTGAAGTCTGCATCCTCTGCTTCCAAATCTGGTTTAGAAGTCACTCTTCAAACACTGTCTCCTTTATTGATAATATTCCAAATGCAGATGCTCTGTAGGCAAACATGGGGCAATTCGTTCTCTTTGTCCCAGGCTGCTTTAAATGAAATAACTCATCAGGAATTTTCCAGTTTCACAAGCCAACTAGCATTACGGCCAAATGTGGGCTTCTCACACTGACAATTGTTTTATTTATTCTTATTGTTCTATTCCACCTCCCTACTGTGTGTGTCAGGAAAATCCTTATGCAGGTTTGTCAAGGTGCAATCCATGTTATACTGAACTCCTGGGGTTCTGTAGTGCATGTTGTCTCATGGCTGTAAGCAATTTGGCACAGGGACAGTCTTCACTGCAGTGCGTCACTGCAAGCTGCACTTTCAACTTTATTAAACAACAGCAAATAAGCTTTTTCTAACCTAATATATTTTGAAGCCTATTAATTATTTTCCTAATGATCTGCTTAACAATGTGTGTGTGAGATTGTTTTCTGTCTGTCCAAGCAAGTGACCTGAAATATATACATATAATTAATGTGCAGTACTGTTTGTTTTAATATAAAGTAAAATAATACAGATCTCCATCTTATTTCAGTGATCAGCATGCTTTTTTTTCTCCTACTGCGTAAATTCTGTGTAATTCTCACTTTTAATTATCTTTTAAGCATAATTATCTCACTATGTTGCTTGAAAATTTTAAATCCATGACATGTCTGTTGTTTGAAGACGGTTGTGCACCAGTGGTATTTCAAATTCAGTGTCTTACACAGATTATGATGGTTTCTCCCTGGACACGCATAGAGTTCTGTGAATGCAATTACAACATAACAATCCCACTGTTTTATTCCATTGCATTGTCTTAGAGATACTATGTTTCACATTTTAATATTACGTATGTTTAAGAACAGATCAGGAGTGATTTTGAGAAGACCTAAGTATCATTGAAAAATGTAGTAGAAAATAAAATTACATCAGCTGTATTTCTACATGTATGGAGAAAGCTCCAAAACACTTCTGTTGCCACCTGTGAGCAATGAGGAGGAAAGGAATATTCAGTCCTCTTAGGCAATTCAGACAAGGACCAAGAAAGTGTAACTGATGTTTCCTTTTTTTTGTTTTATTTGGGCAGTATACTTCATTGGCTTTTATCAGTTCATTTGCAAACTGAGCTCCTTTTTATTCAATTTTCAATTATACTCTTAATTTGTCTTTAATATTGAATCGGACAAAGGTCCAATTCAAACTTGCAGTCTCTTTAATGTTGGAAATCATGTTTCCTATAAAAAATGGAAGGGCAGGATTTTTCTTCTGATCGTCAAGTGAATGACCAGGATTACAGTCAAGTTCTGTTGCATATTGAAGTCAGCCTGCTAATGAGGTTGTCCCTTTGACACTTTAATCAGGACGCACTAAGTTGTTGAAAAATTGTCAGTCTTGTAGCAACACACTGGCTCTGATTTACGAAGTTGTATATGATATGCTAACATCTTCTATATTCCCTTTTTCCTTGGAAAAGCTGTAGTCCCTTTGTTGAAGTAACTTGGTTCACGTGCTGGTTGTTATCTAGGAAGAAGAAAACAAGTCAAACTGCGTTGTAATAACTGAGAGGAATGTTCTAATTTCAGAAGGAACTTAAGCTGTTTTCAATACATTTAAAAATTATTATGTACTTTTGCTCATAAACACCCTTTGGACATTGAACCATTCTACCTCATTATTTTTCTTTTGTGTACTTCATTAATTAACATAGCCTTCTTTGGTTGCAAGGCTATTTAGAATTGGTTCATTTTAATTGTTTCTTTTTTCATTATCAGTAATGAATTTGTCTTAGAGCAAGTGAAGAAATGACATGGAAAATATGGTGAATTGTGTATTTTGCAAGGGTTTTATATAAAAACATTTGATTTGTGTAGCTGCAAGATGAGTGTATTTTACTGAAACACACATTAAAGGTATAATAACTTGTAAGAAATTATTTATTTAAATTGGAAGCTCAAAGTAGCTATATTTATAAATATATGTAAAATTTATATAAAAACTTTTGATTTAGCATGATAAATAAGTATTCATGTGTGAAAAGCTTGATGTGGGTGCTTAACTTCAATCACTCCATAAACTCAGCTTCCTCTGACCTAATTAAGACTTGATACAACATGCAAAATTCAAGATTGTGTAAAATTGTGGTAGTCAGGGTTCTGCAGCCTGTATTTCAGCAAATAACCTGAGAAAGTCCAAGCACCACACGTGGCAGGAAGGCTGAGCCAACATGGGCCTACATGCATGGGTGCAGGGCCACTCAGGAGCTCTTGTGACTCCAATTGTAGTGGGCTTTATTTTGCCTACTTGCTCAGAGTTGTGACACTGCACCATACTAGTGGTGTACAACAGAGCCAGTGCTTGGCTGTGGGCTCTATCCTGGTAGGGAAAATTTTGAGAATAGTGGTTGGTATTTTTATAGATCTTTTACTTATGATATGATGTGGTGGTGTTTTTATTTTATTTTTTTTTTAAGATCTGTAAGCGTGTCAATGCTAAATTTGTTGTTTTGCAGTGAGGGTTTCCTCAGGAGTGTGGAGGTTTTTATTGGAAATGCTTGTCTAATGTTTTTTCTATGTATTTCATTTGTGCTGCTCTACAACTTTGCATCTTTATTTCTGAGTTGATATATGGTATTGCCCCGAATCCATTTGTTTTTGTTCCTCCACTCTGTGCTTTTCAATTTTGCTAAACTTATTATCGTCATTGCTAATTTCTGGTTGGTATGTGTTGTATTAGTTCTTTTCATTATTGTCAAATGGTCTGTTACATTTGTTTCCTTCCTTACAAAAACTTAAGCCATCCAGAATAAGTCAGAGGAGACAGACTGTGCAGCCTTGGTATTTTGAATAAAGTTTTGCTGTCAATGAAAGCCAAAAAGCATTGAATCATTTTAGAGTTTAAAGCCTTATTTCTGCTGAAACGTAGCATACAGTAGTCTTTGTTTTGACGTGCAATTGGAATTACCTTTTATTTTTTACAAAGCTATTTGTAGAAATAATGAAATAAGAATTCACCTGCAATTATGTTATCCTCTCCCATTTAGTTAAAGAAATGGAACTCATTCTGTATAATTACCCTGTAGAGATACTACAAAAAGAAAAATGAGATTTAGATTTGTTTCACTCATGAGACTTAGCTACAAATTTATTAACTTACTGAAAGTGTTCTTTGCAGATTGTTAGGAAACAAAGCATCACACTGTGTAGTGAGACTGCAGGTAATAAGTGAGCTATTGGCACAACAGGTAATGGCCTCTTTCCACTACAATCCACAGACAGAATACTGTCTAGAATGAAAACTTGACAACATGCATGGATTCTTCCACCATTTATAGCAGCTTCCAGTCCCCAGTTTTATGATGAAAACATTCTGTGTTACAAGCAATATGCAGAAAACATAATAAGCCTTATTGTTAATGTTTCCTTTATGGATGTAGACACAGATCTCTGCATCTATACAGAGAAGGGAACTAAATGTTTACTGAAAATATTTTTATTGATGGAATGAGATGCTGCGTATGACCCAATGTCATGGGACCTTTTCTTTCCAGAACTTCCGATGGTGGAAAGACAGTTGGTACCATTGAAGTCAATCTTGTGAAGATGGGAGAACTAGAAGATGGGGAACCAGGCCACATCACAACAGATTCACAGGATCAAAAGGTAACATCTCAGTTGATTGCACAAAATTAAATAGAATTATTAGTTGCACCAGATACTTAAATTACTCATACCACGTTGTTTGAAGTAGTTATTAGAAAAATTACGAAGTACTGTTCATACTTAATCTCTCAAAAATAAAAATTTTATGAAAACACAATTATGCTCTGTTATTGATTTCCTAGTTCCTCTCCTTTTTTTTGGAAAAAAAAGAGTTGATTTTAATTTCAGCTGATCATCTTTAATCATTCCTGATCAACACCTGTCCATAGAGGCACCATAAATATGATTTTTTTTCCCTTTGGACAGTTCCTCTGTTTTCTGCCATTGAAGTCCTGTTCACGTGGATTTTTAAGTGCAGCCAGTGCCCAGAATACTGAAAACCTGGAAAGAATGGCAGACAGGCAAGCCAAGGAAGAGGTGAATCCCCTTAAAAAGGGACAGATTCAGCTGCATTTCATGGGAGCATGCAATGGTGGGGAAAATATATGGGTACAGAGGGTGGTAATGGTGGTATTTAAATATTAGAATAGGGAAGTGTTGAGTAGAGGGTGTGTGTAGGGATTCTGAATTGAGGCAAACATGGTGAGAGGCAAGAGGAAGAGCAGAAGGGGGTCAGAAAGGGTAAAAATGCTCTCCAGTAGGCAAGTCTTGCAACCAGAAGTGGTGGCGATGCCAACTGGAGATCAAACTGTGGGAATGGATTTGAAAGGAGTAGGAGAACCAAAGGAGCGGTGGAAATGGATGACAAGAGGCTTGGGCTAGGACAAGATTCAGAAACAACCACTCTGAATGATGAAATTGGATGGTTTTCAGTTAATAAAAAAAGGATTTTACTGAGTCCCTAGTCTAATGACAGCTGACATATCTGAACAGTCACTGCCACTCGATATCTCTGTCCCTGCAGCCTTGTTCTCGCTGAATTTTTGCAACCCTAATACTGTGGATATACTTCAGGTACTTCCCTTACTCTGCTCTTCATGGAGGGGAAAAAAACAGCAACAAATTTGAGAAAATGAGAAAACGGGATTCAAATTTTAGTACCGCATACTTTCTTATTTGGAGAATGTGTTTTTGGAGAGAAAATACACAAAAGAATGTGTATTTGGAGTGAATGATTTTGTGAGTATCTTTTGTGCTCAGCCAAAATAGTGTACAAAACTCTAAGGATATATTGACACTTGTTTTTTTTTTTTTTAACCATCCTTGTTGTAAGGACCCAAAGTACTTTTAAAAACATGGACAACTGGGATAATACCAAAGTGGCCAGCGAATACTATGAAATCTTTCTTTTTTTGTACTGTGAAAAGTCTACAAGATATGCAAAACAGTTTCTCTAGCCTTCTCTTTTATTTTTATTCTCTTCCAAAGTGTTGAATGAGATTTGGCACCATTATTTGACATGTGTTTGACTTGTGGAAGCAAAAAGGCTTTTAAAAGACTCTTTCTAAGGGATTCTAATACTTCGAGAAATAACATCCTTGTGACAACTTTTGATCTTAACAGCAGTCATTGATTTTTTTTTTTAGTTGTGTCATGGTTTTGCATCATGGAGTCTGTTTGTATGTTCATAGTGGAGATACAGTTTAAGGATATTCCCAAAAAACAATTGTGAGAATGTAGAGATGCTGTATTACTTCAAAGAAATAAGTTTTGAATTAGATTTGCTAACTCAATTACTCATGGAGGAGTAAGCTGATAGTTCAATTCTACCTGAGATGTCAAGTGGTAGGGAGTACCTCATTTCTTGCTCTTTGGTTGAAGATCTGCAGCAGAAAATCTTAAGAGCCGTGGTAACTGAGTTTACTATCATCTTCAGAAACCTTTTTTCTGACTGAGGGAGGTACCTGAAAAATATTAATACTAGCACATTTAAAAGTGGATTTATGCCAGTGGACTTTTACCAGTTGATCTTTCCATTAACTTTTGATACTTTTATACACGAACCTTATCAAAGGAAACATCTTCTAATTCACTTGTATAACAGATGACTTCAATCACAAACCACGACCACGTTTTAAAGATTTGTGGTTTCTACTTCTGCCTTATTTAAAAACTCATTGAGTACTTTCTGACACCGCGTATGTGAAAGCTACCTTATTGAAAGAAATCCCTCTGAAACCACATCGTTTGTCAAAAATGATTTTAGCCTCTGCCTTTGTATTGGCAGGAAATCTTTCTGTTTTGTTACGGAATAGCTGACCATGTGTTGTCATCTTCATTGCGTTTTGCTGTATATTGGAACATACAGAAAAAGAAATCTGAATGGTAATTAATGGTAGGGTTGGGAAGTTATGAGTGTTCTTTTTAGTCTGCTACTTATAAGCTGCTTTTATAAACACTTACAAACTCCTTGTCATGCCACAGTTTGCAAATATAAACTATTCTTTTTCTGTGTTTCTTTTGTAGTGTGCATTGGTTCGTGAGTGTACAGCACCTGAAGGCATAAGTGGTAAAGACAATTTGCCTTCATTAAATGCAGGTGAGTATTTTAACTTCCACATGAGAGGTGATTATTGCAATATCTGGTCTTGAAGAAATCACAAAAATTTGGAGCAGATCTCCTTAAGGACTCTTCATAACATGTAGAGATTTATTAATATTTTATATATTTTTGACTGTGTCATTTTTCTAACAAATGTGAAGAAATCTTTCAGACGTAATGCTTTCTGAAATACTGTTGAAATCTCCCTTCCAACATCTTTACAATTCAGTGATTTTTCAAGACTGTCATTGACTTCAGTGGGCATGGAATTAACCTCATAAGTTTTTGTCATGTCATTGCATGACATCCTGTTAAAATAATTATGTCCTATTTGCAATTGAATACCCAGGAGAATTAATCTTTCTCATAGTTGATGGCATGGCAATTTCAGTTCAATCTGGAAGCTGTACATCCTAAAACTGAGGTAGTGATGGGCAAGACATTCTCAGTTCTAGTTCTGCTCTGGTCTTGTCTGTACTTCACTGAATTAGAATTCTGTTTCAATATACTGAGAAATATTACATGCTGATATGCCGCACCATAGAAGTTTTACTAGCCCAAGTTTATGAATCTCTACTGCTCTACAGTAACAATGTCAGAAATAAGTTAGATGTGTTATCTGAAACCACAGCACTGCCAACTATTCTGTGCGTTAGCTGCAGGCAGTTGAAGAGAAATGTTACTGAAGTTTTAACATTTTTAAAACCTTTATAAAAACTTTTTCTTATTACTTCACTGATAGGACAGGAGACATAGTAGTCCAGCTTTGCAGTCTGATGGAAGCACTAGAAATAGTCTTCCCGTGCATGAATAAAAGGTGTCTCTTTTCCTGTGATTTGTTGAGACTTGATCAGAACCAGAGAAAAACTTTTTAGAACTGCAATTTCTTGTTACTGATTCAATGTGAGGCTAGAACTGTTTGTGGAAAAGATAATCATTGAGAATCCTAACTGGACAGGAACCACGTCTGCTTACAGAAATTTCTGAACTGGAAATAGCTGGAGGCAAGGACTGTTTGTAGGCATATATTTATATATAATGTTTTGATTATTTACATACTAAGATTTCTTTCCTTAGGCTTAAAGATCTTGGTGGATTCTTGTGGATATGGTAATTAGAAGACTTATTGTCAGAATTCAAGTTAATAAAGCACAAAGGATTACAGATCTCATAATTCTAACACTGTAGACCTTCCTGTATTTTCTTGCCTCATTCTCCAAACAGCTGGACCATTTTAGCTGAAAATTTCTAAAAATAATTTGTTTAAATCAAATTAAAGGCAAAATTTGATGTGGCAAAATCAGAGGCAAGGAATGAAAGGAAAGGAAGAAGAATAATGTGTAGAAGTTGAGGATTACAGCCTGCCTGCAGTGTACCTTGCCTGCACTACTCTCCCTGCTGTGTACATGCAGAACTACAATAAACACATTCCACAAACATATTTATTACATGTGTATGCTGTTGTAAACTGTTCTATCTCCCCCATGTTGTTTATCAGGGCTTCAAAACTATGAAACTGAAAAAAATACCCCTATATTTATTTTAAAGCCTGTTGGCGTTGTTCTGAAACTTAAAACTTATATATATCTCAGTCCTTGAGTTTTGAGGCACTTAATGAGTCAGGGGAATGAATATATTTCACACATACCTATTATCATTCCATTATATCCCCAAGGATTGAATCTATGTGTCTCAATGTTGAGTTATCCGTTTCTAATACAGGAATGCTTGCCAGCAAACTTATTGCCCTTTGCAATGACAAAAAGAATAAAAGTGATTGAAATTAAGCAAAAATTAAGGAAGCTGAAAATTATCCTATCATAATACATCTATCCTAAGAAAAGAAGATATAAATAGAAACACTAATAGTAAATTGTTATATGGCAGCAGTACGCTTTGAATTGTCTTGGATAGGGAAGAAGAATGAAAACAGAGTACTGGATCTTTTATTAATTTATTTACAGGGAAAGCAATGAGAAATATATTGCATGGAGTAAAAAGCACAGAGATCTTTAAAAATGAGAATGTGCAGAAGTATGGATAGTCAAATATATGGTACTGGCTTTAAAGCTTTGTGCTATAAAGAAGTGATTTTCAAGTAAATCTTTCCTTTTTTAAACCATTGAAGTTCATCTCAAATTGCTTTTTTCCAGTGCCCTTCATGATCACTGTCTAAATACAGGAAGGATTAAACTTACGAAACTTTTACTCATTTTAATAACTACTACTTATAAAATCTAGTTGTAGACTTACCATCCTTACTGTTTGGGTGCCAAAAACCATCTGGATTTCTTTTTTAGGCCATTTGGTGAAATTAGAAAGAAAAACATCTAAGAATTTTATGGTGTCACATAAACATTTCAGTGTTTCGCTTCAAAGGAAAAGAAAATATTGTGCAGCTCTTATTGTCGACCTCACAAAGTAGCAAGCAATAATGAAAGTTAGAATTATTTGGTTTCCTTCCAGTCTTTTTTTCTGTGTTTATAAATGAAGCTTTCTTCATAAACCTGTTGAAAGATGTTTTTGCTGTTTTCTTGCCTTTCCTTGTCCTTATTTTTTTTAAATAAAGAAACAGTAAATGGCTTCCAGTCTGAAATTTCAGTAGCAGAGATGTTAGCATTAAGTAATATCTAAAATGACTTAATTCTAAAAATGATAAAAGAAACAACTTTGAATCCCTGTTTCCAAAGTGATATAAATCTTCCTTGCAGTTATGCTGCAATACTTTTAGTCTTTAGTTTTTTTTTTTTTCAGTTGTTTGTTGGCTTTTGTTGTTGTTTTGTTTTACTGGTGGTGATGATGAAGAGAAATGCAGGGGGAAGAGACTGTTAAGCATTCACTGCTTAGCTAACCATTTTGTGTACGTGCATTAGGTTCATACAGACAAATAAGAATTTTGTGAATGAAATAGATTGAATGCAGATTCAGGCGCTGCTCTTCGAAAAACTTTCTTTGAAAGCTTATTGGAGAGTAAACATAAAAAGGAGAAAAAGTGAAGACTTTTCCATCTAGGTCATCATTATTTGAAATCTCATGCTAAATGCTACCAGCTTGCTTCATAATGAACAGGTGGTGCTACAAAATAAATAAATCAAAGAAAGAAAAAAGTGACCTGTTCTGACTGATTTCTATTTTAAGACAGTCCTGACTTAACCAAGTTTATTGGGCTCCCTCTGATTTCTGAAGATTGTCATTCTGTATCTTGTTAATGGAAGACGATCGGTGCCTCTTATCTGCTTTATGGATTGACAGAGACTGTCAACATTATTGAAAATTCGATTTTATTAACATAAAAGAATCTCAGTGGAAGACAAGGAAAATAGGAGAACATCACAGCACGTTTTAATGAAGTAATAGAGTAAAGCCCAGACACAGGATGCAAGTTGATAGTATGTTGAAGATGTTTTTGTTTTTTGAGGATCCTCAAGCTGTAAAATGTGTAATGATGTTTGAATATTGGGGTATTTGGGGTGCTAATAATGAACAGAAATTCCTACTGTTCATTTGCCATTTCCATCAGTCATCTATTATGCCTGTTTCACAATAGTAAGTCAATCTAGTTTTTGTAAATAAAATCAATCATAAAGGCAGAAAGACTGTAAAAGGCTTTTAGTTTCTCATCAGATTAGGTAAAGAGATATCAAAGAAACGATGGAAATAGAAAAGGAACATGAATATTTGCATTGTTCCTTTCTTTACCAGCAGCTGTTTTATTACAGATACCTCTGAATCTGTCATCTTGTTTCAGGTTTTTCTTGGAGGATTTCTTGATTAGTTGTACGAGACTACTTGTGTAACTTTAACTTTCTGTTTTTTGTTCTCTGTAAAGCAGCCTACATATGCAATAATGGTTGCAATGAGATGTAAAAGCAGCTGATATTCTTAATAGTTGTTATGGTTGCTGCATAGTTGCCTTTGGGAGTTAAAGCATTAATGCTGCAGTTTCTTCAGAAGAGAAGAATGAACTCTTCAACTTCCAGTGCACTGCATGATATTATGATGATGAAAAACTATGAAACCATGACAATGGTATATATCATATTGACAGGAAGTTTCTTCTCAGCACACATGGGAAATGCTTTTTGTTTGAGTTACAGACCATTCAGTGGCAGATCAATGGAAACCCAGTCTGAGGCAGCTTTTTCCATAAGGCTGGTCGTGGAAAAGAACTTTTGGAGGTTTTGGATGGCTGTCTGAAGTCATTCTGCATTAGCAAGCTGCAGATGTGTATGTTTAATGACAGTAATTTGTGTCCCATGAAGCTTATTTACAAAGTCAAATGTTACTTTCCTTTCTCAGATTTTTCCCCAACAGTTAAGAGTGGGGTGGGTATAGGAAAGAGAGGAGAGCATAGAAATTTCTCATCTGAACGCCATTGAAAAGTCAGAGCAGAAATATTGCCAAGATGCAAGAGCTTTAAGGTGAAAAACACTGTGGGTTCCAAGACATGAAGACATAAACTTCCAAGACATGAAGTATCTTGGTTTTCCTAAATATTTTGATTTTCTTATGCCAAGCTACAACTTACAGTCATAACCTGGGAATAGAGCATATAACGTGCTTACGGGATTGTAATTTTTATTTCTATGAAGTACCAGTTTCTTGATCGTATCGGTGGTAAAGCTTCCATTAACGTTAGAAACACATCATTTATTAACATTAATGACTCTTCTGTGTACATATCATGGAGAAGATACATTGAATACTGCTAAACTTCACGGACACACTTCACTTGTCCAGTGAAATTTATTATTCATGTGATTCTAGCAGACTGTAAGTGATAGCACTGACTGCGTCAAGTTCACTGTTTAATTGTGCATTTTGTTTTTCCTAACTGTATCTTAAGCATAAGAATAGAGAGCATAACTTCTCTTTCTACTGCATTGAAGTACTAAATTCGCAGAATACCTGCTGCGATTTATCTACTATATTAGCAAAACTTGGTCCTCTACGTGCTGCTATAGTAAATAAAATACTAATGTATTTAATAGATTCTTAATGGTTTTGAAAGTAATTCTACCAGCAACGGGGGGAAATAATGTATTGTTTTTAGATATTTTGTTCTCATAAATTTTCAGTCATATAACCACAGGAAAGCAACTATATAATTTTTCTCCTCTGCAGTGTTAAAAAACCCAATCTGTAAGTTGTACAGATTTCCTACTTCTGACAACAAGTGGATGCGGATCCGGGAACAGATGGCTGAGACCATCCTCTCCTTCCATGTTCCTAAAGAACTGATCAATCTACACATAAAGGAGGATATGAGAAGGTAAGGATGAGGAATTAGCAGTAGTAAATACTACATGTTTTCTTAGTAAGAATAAAATACATGATGAGCTAAAAATATAAATTCCAACTATGAAATAGGCCAAGTATACTGTTCTAGGGCAACAAAGCTGGTGAGGGGTCTGGAGCACAGGCTTTATGAGGAGGGGCTGAAAGAGCTGGGGTTGTTCAGTCTGGAGAAAAGGAGGCTCAGGGGAGACCTTATTGCTCTCTGTAAGTACCTGAAGGGAGCTTGTAGTGAGCTGGGGGTCGGCCTCTTCTCTCGTGTAACTGGTGATAGGACTAGAGGGAATGGCTTCAAGCTGCGCCAGGGGAGATTCAGGCTGGATGTTAGGAAATACTACTTCTCTGAAGAGTGGTCGGGCACTGGAATGGGCTGCCCAGGGAGGTGGTGGAGTCACCGACCCTGGAGGTGTTCAAGGAACGGTTGGATTTTGTGTTGAGGGACATGGTTTAGTGAGAATATTGGTGATAAGTGGATGGTTGGAGTGGATGATCTTGTGGGTCTTTTCCAGCCTTGGTGACTCTGTGATTCTTTGAACTTCTGAGGCTTCAGCAACAGAACTGATGGTCAGAATTCTCTAAGACTGCAGTGATTTATAAGTTCTGAGCAATGATCTGTTTTAGAGTACAGTCATGACTTGAAATGTATTAGAATCAACATTTGGTTAACAGCATACATTTTTGGAAAAGCTAACATTTTGTAAAGAAACAATACATGACAAGGGTGTGAACTATATTGTAGTGTTTTATTTTTACTTTGGCAACACTTAATACCTCAGATAAATATTATGCAAGCAGTGGCAAGTAATATGTTTGTAGTTAGTGAAGAAGCAATGAGAATATAAATAGCTTTTCTTCTAGCTAATTTACCTTAATTGACGTGAGAAAAATTTATAGAAGTAGTTGAATTTTCTAGCCTTAGCTTATGTTGGGCCTTTTAGTCAGGAAAGACATTGTAAAAACAATGCCATGTGAATGGCCTGGGAAAAAGAGAGGGAGCACCAGTGGACTGAAACCCTTTGTATACTGAAATTCCCACTTCATGTACTAAAACTGCAACTTGCCCTTAAATAGAACTGTAAATTCTGCTGGTCCAACTGGGCAAAAGGTTTCAAGTGGTCTCAGGCTTCCCTAAATGCTTACCTGCTTTTCCCAGTAGTGCTGAATGATGCAGGAAAATGTTGCTACTTGTGCCATTACACTTGCCTCACCCAAGTGGGCATCTTGTCTCATGTGTAAGAGTAGTCTTGTGAGCTGATGCTGCATCCCTAAGTTAACCTGTGTGCTTTCAGGTATTCCTGCTTCAGCAACCCAGCAGGAAGCCCTGCCTGTGGTTGTTTACAGGAGGTCCTGCAGTAAGGATACCTGTCTTAATAATTATTCTTAAGCCCATCTACTGCACCTGTGTGATTTGCTTTTTGTGCCAGTAGAGCAGTATGTGACAGTCCACAATCTTGCATTTAATAAGTGAGTGGACTGGTATGTGCTTAGTTGTAGTAATGATGGGTTATAAAATATACGTGAATTGCTAGAATACTTGATTTTTTTCATTAGTGTCACGTTTAGGTGTTCATGACCAGATCTTGTTTGAGAATACTAATGTGAAAAGGCTTTTTAGTAAGCAATAAGAATTGATTATGCTGACTGTATAGCTCATCCACTTCTCAAATTTATATTTCTCAATAGGTAAATGCCATTTGAGAGTTAGAGAGTTACTTTAACCACTTTTGTTTCTTATTCATTATCATCGCCAAAGCCACTGTGCAAATACCAGTACTTGGTGTTATTTCACATTATAGCATTCATCTCTTTGGAACAGCTCATAGTATTGTTTTATTGTTTATTTCTGTTAAATGATCATCCAATACCCACTGTAACAAAGAAATGCTTTGAGGAAGAAACATAAGTAAACGTGGCTTGACGATTGAAGCACATGCTTCTGATTTTCCTGACTGCCAGTGTGGTTAGCTGTGAAGCCTAGGTTAGAAGTATGAGTGTGACAGTGAGAAGGACAAGTTGGTTGCACCAGTCTGAAGGAGGAGGTAAAATCAAGAGAAGCAGGAACTTTTCGTGGGAATTTAGCAGATGGGGTGGAGTAGGGACATCTGTGTTGCTTATCAGTGTATAAGCATGTAGGTTGGAGCTTCAGCTTTATACATGCTTAGCTGTCTGAAATAACTGCAAAGATGTGTGCTCCTACAGACTCCATACGTTTGGAAAGTAGTAAGTTAAAATGTGGAGAAAATTGTTATGCTTGCCCTTGAACTCTTAAAAAACTTAGACTGTACCTTCTCAAGGCTATACTTTCTGAAGTATTCATCTCTACATGTTGTTTTTTCTCTGGTTAGTGTAAAGAAATACATATTTTTGTCTCAGCCTATGTTGCACTATGTTCAGCGTGTTTCATTTTATTCCTTCAGTTCAGTCAGGTTGCTTCAATATTGTCAGGTCTGAAGCAGTTACTTATAACAAATATCCAAGTGTAATGTTAAACCTATTCAGTACTGCAATGCTCTTTTTTTCATAAGTCTTAAGATTATTTATCACTTGATTAAACTAGTGTTCATTGTTAACAGAATATTTTCATTTTTTTAACTTGATACTCTGAAATATGTAACCTCTGAGGGTGTTTAACATTGTTTTTTAGTATGGTGTAATGCTGTTAAGGATATCCCTGCATTTGAGATACTAACCTTCAGACCTCCTTGGTGGAAGTTTCAATAGGAGGTCTATGGTCATTTTTTGTTCTAAAAAGGGTAATTTAGTCTACTTTTCTGCTTTTTATTAAAAAAGTTTCCTTCTTAAGACTTTCCAATGAGTACTTTCCACTGTCCTAAGTATTTCTTTACACAGATCTTCTTTTGCATTCATCACACAAGACTAGCAAACTAGTTTTTCTAGCACAATGATTATGAAAAAGGCTAGTAGTTTACAATAACTAGTTCAGAAAGTTTGTCAGCCTGTAGAATCTAAGCTTGTAGTTGTAGAAGAAGCTTGTGTTGCACTAGATCAACATAACAAGAGAATTATGGAACTAAAGGAGAAACTACCATAGATATTTCTTTCAAACTTGAGCTGGCACATTCCAACTTCCATACTGTGTCAGGAATGGCTGGCTTGTCTCAAATCCAGCAGGCTTTTCTTGTGTGATCTCTGCTGTAGTCAGTACAATGCAGACTTTGCAGTCTGTTCTGGGAATTCTTTCATGCAGCATTCCAGAACGAGGAAAAATCTTGTTTTGGAAGATGTGTGCATTGCTATTGCCTTTTAATACAAACATTATTGGAGTGGACGTTGATCTTCTGGACCTTTGCATGCTATTTTTTAAATTACTTTGTTTTGAACAATGGCATGGTGAAATTGTTGTGTGGCATATTCTCAAGACAGCAAATCCCAGTCGATTTTCCATATATATGCAGGAAACATGTTTTAAAAATAATTTTCTTAACTGTATTTTATTTGCTTATATTTGTTTTGGGGACAAATATGAGATAACACAGTCTGCATTCAAGTTTTTTCTTAACTCTCAGGTTGGAATTATCAGAAGCCAAAACAGTTCCTAGAAATTCTGTAAGAGAAAAAAAATCTGTTTCCAAGAGGTTCTAAATGAGAAAAAAAAAAAAAAAACCAACCCCCAAACAAAAGGAATTAAAGAAAAATATCTTTGTACATTTTTTGTAGTACTTTCCTCAGAAGAAATTAAATCTTCTTTAGTAATTATTTGTTTGTTTTAGTAACATTATAGTGAAGAGGCTATGATTCTTTTATTTCTGGAAAAGATGTTATATTGTTTTGGTGGGCTATTGCCACAGGGTCCACTTCTTGTTATAAAGAAATACAGAACTAATTTTATCTCCTTCTATTCTACTGTAAGGTGTAATGGTTACCCATAAATATGTACACTTCAAAGTAAATTTTGTTAGGCAAAAAAATTCCCGTGCTCCTTTCCTTAGGAGTAAACTTCTAAGCTTCTGTTACACTTAAGTGATTAACTCATACCCTGAAGTTTATGGTTCATATTTACTCTAGAGCTCTTGGTTTGACTATGTTCAGAATATTTATTACTTTTATCCTGTTCCTACATCCTTGGATCCAGTCTGTTAAGAACAGTTTTTCTGTTTCTTTAATTGTTAAGCCTCCTGATGCAAAACAAGGGCTGTTTAAGTAGAAACTATCAACATAAATAATACAAGAAACTCTTGTTGCATCTTTCCGGTACTTGGAATAATTTCCTATAGTCATGAATCAAAGGTGTAATTAAATAAATAGAAGCATGAGTTGCTAAATCAAATGGTATGATATTAACCTGAGCCTTGGATGCTTGACCTTCATTTTACAATCAAATTATTGAATATTTTCTTGGAAGCAAAAAGTTGCATCTAGTTTTAAGGTTTGAGTCCAATGGCAACATTATCCATGCAGCCTTTACAAATATATGGTTGCCCTGATGTGCACCAATTCTTAAACTGTCTTGCATATCAGCATAACATGCTGCATGACAGTTCTTTCCATCAGCAGGAGAAAGCTAGAGAGAGCTCAGGTCTCCTAAAGAGCTAGCAGACCATGGATTGTGAATCATCCTCATAGAGTAAAAGCTCTTGTAGACAGGAGACTGAAATGAAAGATTCGGGACTTCCTAACAGTGCTTTGGGATCCCAAAGAGTTTTGTAATTTATTCTTGGAAATTTTCATCTCTTTAAAACTGTGTTAGCATCAGTGGTTTGTAAATCTTTGTGCTAATGATCAACCAAGTAATTTCAGCAAATTAGGACTCTATATTGAATTTTTATGGATCTTGCCTATCTCAAAGGGGAAACAGATCCTAGCCCAGGAACTGGCAGGCTCATTGAGAGGCCGTTAAACTAGGAATAAAGGGGAATGGGTTAAAAAGAGGCTTGCTAGAAATGAGCCTGCGGGAATGCTGTTAGGATTGGGATTGAGGCTAATGGCTCAGCTGATGTGCATCTACACCAATGTGCGTGCAGCACGGGCAACAAACAGGAGGAGCTGGAAGCCATTGTGCAGCAGACAGACTGTGACTTAGTTGCCTGTACAGAAGCATGGTGGGATTGCTGCCATGGCTGTAGTGCTACAGTAGATGGCTACAAGCAAAACTGCTACCTTGGACTTCTGGAGGGCAGAACTATTCAGGGCATAGGTAGGAAGGGTTCCTTCGGATTCAGTTCTGAAAGGCAGAGGGGTCCCGGAAGGCTGGTCGCTCCTCAAGAAGGAAGTCTTAGTGGTGTGGAAGCAGACTGTTTCTGTGTGCCATAAGATGACCCACCAGGGAAGAAGACCTCTGTGGATGACCAGGGAACTTTTTCTGAGACTCAAAGACAAAAAGAGCCTACCTCCTATGGAAGAAGGGGTGGGCAACTTGGGGAAACTACAAAGAAGTTGTTAGGATATGTATGAAGAAAGTTAGAAAGGCAAATGCTAAGCTTGAACTCAATCTGACCGCTGGAGTAAAAGAGAATAAAAAACTTTCACAAATTTATTAACAGTAAAAGGAGGGCTAAAGGGAATCTCTATCCTTTACTGAATGTGACAGGGAATGTGACCAGTGAGGATAAGGAAAAGGCTGATGTTTTCATTGCCTTCTTTACATCTGTCTTTAAAAGGCAGAGCAGTTATCCTCAGAGTACTCTACCTGGAAGCCTGGGATTGGGAACAATCCCCCCTTGCAGTTCAGGTGGAAGCAGAGACCTGCTACTCCACCTGGACTATCACAACTTCATAGAACCATTCAGCTATAATGGGAGGTACTTAATGAAAGCTTGGCATAATTAGGCTACTAGAATGCACCTCCTTCTAGACCATATTGCTCACAGCCCCCTCCAGCCTGGTCTTGAGCCCCTGTGGAGATGGGGCATCCATGACCTTACTGGGCAATCTGTTCCAGTGTCTCAGAACTCTCATGGTAAAGGTTTTTTTCTCAGTATCTAGTTTGAATCTGCCCTCTTTCAGATAAAAACCATTTCTTCTCATCCTGTAACTGTCATATGGTATGGAATATCCCTTCGGCCAGTTTAAGTCAGCTGTCCTAACTCTGCCCCCTCATAGCCCTTCTTTAGTATGAGACGAAACTGGAATGGCCTTGGCTCTATACAACATTGCTGAGCAGTAACTATAAACATTAGTGTGTTGTGAACATTGTTTTTTTGCCAGAACCAAAACATAACATCATACCAGACGCTCTGAAGAAAAGTAGTTCTGTCTTTGCTGAAACAAAGACAGCAGGGCCAGAAAAGACTGGCATGTAGACAGCTTGTGGGGCTTAGCAAGAAGATTCAGAAAGCAAAGCTGGAGTTTGATTCTGAAAGAAGGGTTGAAGATGATGCTGAGCACAATGTGTGTCATGTTGATAAACAAAATGACCTGAAAAAGACTTAAAGAGAAGTTTTGGAGTGAGAGAAGAAAATGATAAATGGATGTATTTTAGGTAGGTAGCTCTAGAAGTAATGCCTTCTGTTTTTTTTTCTATGCAAACTACAACAGATACAAAGAGCACAATAACACTATTTAATAGAGTAAATTTAATAGAGCACTGTTTTTTCATCACTTTTGCCACCATTAGTGATGCACTTTTGCTAGCCATCAACAAGAGCCTGCATACCATGCTGATAGAAATCCACACCAGCTGAGGTGACCTGCTGTTTCAGAGCTGCTACAGCAGTGCCTTTGCTAGGAAAAGGTTGCCTACACAGTCTGTCTTTCATCATCTGAACAGATTTAAGTCAGAAGGTGCCAGATTCAGATTCTTTGGATCTCATATGGATCCAGATATTATGTGGTGGGTGTGGTAGGACAATGCAGCCAAGATTGGCCATGTGCTCCATGGTCTTCAAACTGCTGTGGGGCCTGGTGTTATCATGTTGCAAGAGAAAGACTGTCTTCTTCTCTGGCCTGGTTCTGGAAGTTCCAGCTTTGAGCTTATTCAGGATGGCAATGTACAGGTCAGAGATGATGTTTTTTCTGGTCTTCAGAAATGTTATTTTTGTTCCTGAGGGAGCATCTGTGGACCCACCTGGTGCAAACTGTGATATTCCAGCATTGCTACTATCATTTCCAATGCATTGAAGCCAATATACAGCTCCATACACAGTTCCCTGCTTGTGATCTGCCATTTTGTGTGGATGTTCTGATCGAGATACTCTTCATGTCGTGGTGTGACAGCTGTGTGTGACCATCTGAAATGTGGATTATCTTTTTTGTTGCTGTCACCACTGCTGAAATACACTGCCCACAGCCTCACATAGCTCACATCCACTGTTTGGTCTCCAAAAATGTTCAGAAATCATCAAAGAACGTCTATGGGTGCGGTGTTTTCCGCATAGAGGAATTCAGTGATGCACGTTTGCTTCATAAGCACTTCCACATCAGATGCTATTTTACCAGTGTCCCTCTGCTGCCATCTGTTGCATGGCAACAAAATGTAACGGGATATTGATAGGAAGGGTCAGCCTCTGTTGCTATGCCTCCAATATCTACCTTGTGAGCCAACACAATAAAATACAAGGCATTACTTTTGGAGCAGCCCTCATGATACTGAGATTGCTCTGAACTTACTGCTGTGTTAATAAATTGTTCCAAGTCCCATGCTTGAATTGAAAACATTAGTTACTTATTTGTCCTTTGAGGTGTCTGAAATATATAAAAAATACTGATTTTCATCAATTTCACAGTTATTTAATGTGTTTAATATTTGAAATGTATTTTGAAGTTATTCAGTGAAATAAGTTCTCATGTAACATACTGCAATATTATTGAAACACTTCAAAGATACGTATATATAAAGAGAGACTGAATATCACAGGGTATTAGTATGGACGTTAACTTTCCTAATTTCCAAAGTACTTTGTTTCTGTTATCTTTCCTTTTCCTTGAGGATTGCCAACAATTCCAATAAAGCTTGGTACTGTGGAGTACTGTTGATGGAACTTAATCGTGGAAAAGATCATTCTATTTTTAGCCATGACTGAGAACAGAGTTGCACTGTCACCAACAGCAGTATGAAAAAGAGTAAAAACTTGCAATACACAAACAGTATCCAAATCTAAATTATCTTGGATCAATTATCGTGTTTGGAAAAAAAAGAAGGATGATGTATATGTAGTAGTTGTAGTAGCTCTGGGATAGAATTTACTTTGCAGGTGGGGAAAACAAACTGCTCAGTGCACTGTAAGTAACTGTGCTGGTTAGTGTAGGAGGTTAGGGAGAGTGTAGGGAGTTAGTGAGAGTGTACAGGAAGACTGATAATTTGCTAAAGGATTTCCTTTTGCATTTTAGTGACATGTGTGGTTACCATAATGTTGCTGTTTTGACCTGATGAGCACAGCTGTAAGGCTGAAGATTACATTTTAGGGAAATTGTCATGTTTTGTTTTCTGTTTTACAATAAAGAAATGTGGGGGAAGGATAGCTTGGAGGGGAGCAAGGTTTGTGTGGGGGGCACGTCACAGGACTGCTGTACTGATGGATAAACAGACATTTGTAGAAATACTGGCACAATAGTGTGTATGAGAGTATCCGAAGAGTGGACCTTATAAAGCAGCTTTAATGGAAGTGTTGGAAAAGGAATGAAGTTTGTACTCTTTGCAGTGGTGCTTACTGTCTTCACAAAATATTTCTTATTGTGGACACAGTTCTTTGGAGCCTGAAAGCATTCTTGCCTACGGGGAAGAAACAATATTTCATTTTGCAGGCCATTACATTTATACCAGATGAGTTTTGAACGTTAAATTATTGTATTATTCAGTGATTTGACATTCTTTGTTGCACGGTTAAAAATAGAGCTGAAATCAGCAAACTTAGTAAGAGGCATGAAAACACACCCGAGATAATAATTGTATTTCAAATGGGAAGGGCTTTTGATGTTTCTTAATAAACTATCTTGGATTAATTGGATTCATTTGGATTAAGGAATTAAAGCCATCTCTTTTTTGCCTTTTGATACAGGAATCAGGAGCTTAAAGACTTGGGAGAACTTGCACCTCACTGGGACAATATGCGCAAAAGTGTTATTGCTCACTGCGATCAGATGTTGAGCATGTATCAGGATACTCTTGCAGAGCTTGGAAAACATACAGGTATGAAGGTAGCCTCCCCTCAGCTGGAAAATTGAACTGTCAACCTAGTCAGTGCTTATTATATACTAAAATATTCAGCAGAAATAAAGCACATAAAAACAATATATTTTATAATAACTTTATTTCTGAGATACCAAGAGTTTCCCTGCTTTTTCTTTTTTTTTTTCCCCAATGCATTCCAGCATGTTTTCACAATTTAATGTAGCTTATGGTTATAGAGCAACCAAAAAACTGGAAAAGTGGCTGTGCCTCTTTTCACTGCATATTCCCTTGAATGTACTGTTCTAGTAATATAGAGTACCATCAGACAGCTGGAAACAGTCTTAGAGAGGTAGTTCTGTCAGTTTTTCTTGAAATATAGGTTGCATTTAACAGTATAGAGAACAACTGTAATGTGTTTTACATATCCTTAGTGCATTTGTCATTGCCCAGGTCATGTCAGAAAAGCACACAATTTATGTAGGATGCACAGTCTGCCCACAGTCCAGAAGTAGCAGTGTGTAATACTTTTGCTTTTTTTTTCACGTGTTGTGGTCTGATGCACGTGAGGTGTTTGTTCAGTTATGTTTGTCAGGATCTTGTGGACTGTAATGTATGGTAGTACCCACACAAAGTTGAATAAAGACAGTATCAGTGACAAATGTACAGAGAGGCAGCTGGTCTTTTTTTTCCTGTAAAATTCTTTATAAAAAAGCAAGAAAAGACTGCAGAAAAAAGTATTTATGCTTTTGAATTTCTTTTGATTGTTCACAAATCATTTAAAGAACTTAGAATAATTCTTTTTTATTTAGGAAGACTGCTGGAATTATTTCCTGAATAACGCTGTATTTTGAGCAAGCTATTTTTTCATTCGTAACATGTCTTCCACCTCCACTATTGCTTTTGAGATTTTTCTGGAAGGAAATAAACACTTGTGTTCTGAGTGACTGCGGAGGCCTTGTTGCTTCTTTCTTGCTAGTGATCCTCATGATCACCTTATTATGCATTTTCTAAGGCTGTGCTGCCATTATTGGATATGCTGTTTCACTCTGTATTCTCATTATTAGTTATGTGACTTGTATGTATAGGCATAGGCTTGCCAGAGGTTAGCAGGTGTTTGTGCATTGTACATTTATTTATACAGCATTCAGTTACATCTTCTGAAATATCAGGTAATTACAAGAGTTAACTTGCATTATTTTAACTACTCCTAGCTTTCTACGGTTGTATAAAAAAAAACCTTTTTTAAAATTTACTGAGAAACTGTGTGATTTTAGTTCAGTATACAACTAGATTGCTTTTGAGTCTATATTTTTCTTTCACAGAATTGGGTGTGTTTTTTATAATTGATCTGCATTTAGTAGGTGAGACAAATCCTTCTTTTCCAAAATAATTGTTAAAATGCCAGGTTATCTGATATCCATCACCTTTTAGTAGGAAATGTTATTTGTCACCTCATATTGTTCAGAGATGTCTTTTTTTTTTTTTGGTCACAGGAAAAGAGAAATCCTGTTTTACTATATGAACAAAAAAAGCCCTTAACTGAAACCAAACGTTTTGTCAGCAGTGGGGGAGGAGGCTCATCTGTTATCCTAAATGTTGTGTAATCAATAGCATTTTGGTTGCACAACTGTAATTCTTGTGTTGATGATTGTTTACCATCATCGCAATATTCCAATTCTGTTTTTGGCAGATTACTGTGTGAAATGACTTAAGTTTCAGCATTTTATCTAATATACATTTTTTAATGCTTAGTTTTTGAAAGCATTCCATAAAATATCATATGGAAGGAAATAGATAACAGTGATGAAAGGAATCAGTATGTTAATTAACACTTTGAGGAAAATACTAAGATGACCTTTTGGAATTTAAAAAAGAAAAAAAAAGTAATTCATTAAATGTAAATTGTGCAAGGCCTTTATTATGACATGTGAATTTGAAAAAGGCTGATGATGTTAAATGACATTCTTAATGAAATATATCTGAAAGATAACTGGTCGTAGCCAACATGGCTTCACAAAGGGGAAGTCCTGTTTAACTTAATCTCCTTTTATGACAAGGTTATGAACCTGGTTGACCAAGGGGAACCAGTTAATGTAATCTTTTTCAATTTCAGCAAAGCCTTCAATATTGTTTTTCAGAGTATTCTTATAGACAAAATATCCAGCAAACGCTTAAACGAGATCATAATGTGATGGGTGAGCAATTGGCTGATGGATAGGGTAGGACGGCCTCACCAGAAGCACTGTATACAGTTTTGGCAACACAGTATAAAGAGGACCTATTAGAGAGCATCCAAAGGAGAGCTACAAAGAAGGTGAAGGGGTCTAGAGGGCAAGGTGTATGATGAGAGGCTAAAATCACTTTGTTCAGCTCAGAGAAGAGGAGGTGGAGAACAGGTCTCATGATGGCTTACAGGAGGAAAGTGGAAGGGCACTCTGGTGACAGCGGCAGGATCTGAGGGAATGGCATGGATTTGCTCCCCAGGGCAGTGGTCACAGCACCAGGCTGACAGATTTCAAGAAGTGTTTGGCCAAAGCACTCAGAAATATCATGTGATTTTTGAGTGGTTCTGGACAGAGCCTAGAGATGGACTTGATGATTTAGAATTCTAACTGTGGTGGACCAGGGAACCCAATGTTATTGAAGAGGATAGAACCAGCACATGAAACAAAGTAGGAACATTACTTTCAAAGCTAAACAGTCTAATAGTTGTACTGAAGATTTAAGATAAATAAGTAGGTTTTAAGTTGGAGGTCAACACTGAGGGACAAAACTAAATTTCGTGTCTTCAACAACTTTTTTCCTCAGTAGTATGCTGTTGGTAGAATAACTGTATTAGGGAAAATCCTTATTTTTTTTGGTGTGTTTAAATTTGTGTTAACGTTAAAAAGCTCAGTGGTATATCTGTGCATTCTAGAACCTATTAATAGTACAGTAATTCTGAAGAAGACAATATTTACTTAAAGTCCTGCACTATATTTATTCATATTAAATCACAAATTAAATTAGATGATAAATCCTCTGGACAGTAACTGTTCCTTCAGAGTTCCACGAAGATGTAACGTTTTTTACATTTACTATATACCTTACATATATGGAGGTGGAGATGGGGTGGGGGAAGGGTGGAGGAAAGGTAATTTTATTGTATATATGTGTATAGAGTCAGACTAGAACACCAAATCTGTATTTTAATCCTCTGTGCAATGAAGGACTTTGCTGCCTAAAATTCAGGGTGAAATCTGGAACAGATTTAAAGGTGGCTAAGAGTTCATTTTGCTTTCAAATTTCATTTCTACAGCAGTATTAGCCTCTATGGCTTCTACCTAGGTTAGAACTTCTATGCAACTATAGCTACACGCATTGCTTTTAAAATCCTATGACAGCTCAGGGCATATCCTGCTCTTCTTTGTACCGAACTTGCAGTTCTTTTGTGGTGTAGTGACAGAAAGCCATCTTCTCCTGGATGCATAGGTGAAAATATGGGTAGTGCAGGCAAAATGCTAACCCTGACAGCTGACCAGATGGGGTGGAACTTCTGACTTCAGGAGTTACCTGATGTTCCAATATGTTGTAATCTTTACAGTAACATTAAAGTGGTCTTTACAGAAGTTATGTTTGAGTGATAGGAATAATGAAGGCACAGGTGGGTAAGACATATGGTGAATGCTTTGAAGATGCGTGCCTAGGATTAGAATGCAGGATTTGCAGTCAAAAAGAGTGACCATTAAGTCATTTTTGCATACGTCATGGGCTTGCATCTACCCTCTGTGGGCCTCAGCCCATCAGTCCAGCCTGTCCAGATCCCTCTGGAGGGCCTTCTTGCCCTCAGGCAGATCAACATTCCTTCCTAATTTTTTGTTATCTGTGAAATTATTGAGGGTGCACTCAATCCCCTGGCTTCCTATCAAATCTGAATCAGTTACTCCTGACAATTGCTTTTTACAACCTTTGCTCTGAATCTTCATTAAAATTATTATTATTTTAAGTTGTTAAGCTTTGGTAGCAGCCTATGCAGGTCTACAACTGATATAGATGAAGTACCTTTTCCTGGCTTAGATTTGAGCAAATATGCTAGTACCTCTGTAGCCTTGCTTTGTGGCGTCATTGGTGCCATCTGGCAATATGGTTTGCATTGGGAGTCTAACACATGCTTAGTTGCCTTGGAATTTATGGCAGTTCAAACAGATAACCTCTAGGAAATTCTGTCTGAGCAAGTAAAGAATTGCAAATGTATGTTTTTCTCTCCCTACACACAAGAAAATGTTGAATCTTTTCAGATATTTTCGTGGGGGAAGGGAGAGAAATCGGAGACTGAAATCAGAACTAATATCAGAGAAATTTTAGTTTAAACAATTAACAGGCAAGATGGCAGGATGCTGAAAAAACTATCTTGTGCTGCCTGAGTGAGAATGTACGATCACCTTTTTACTAATTGATGACCTTTAGCTTTGTATATGTGCCCTACTAAATATCTCCAGGTAAATCACGTTTATTCCCATGAGGCTTTAATTGTATTCCTTTATACCACCATAGAGTTGCTTGTAATCTTGTACTTCTATAGCGTGTAGCCAGATTGTTTGGTTTTTTTTTGAGAATATTGTGCTTTTTTTCTGATACTGGATTTTTTAAGAAAGAAAAGGAGTTTATAGCTTTTCTTAAGCCATTTTACGCTTCTATAATTGGAACTTTCTAGGAAGAATACATAGCTCAGTCAAGGTAATATTTTGATTTAATAAAAAAAAGTTGGTGAAGGTGTAGTACTATCATAGCTCCGTACCACTGTGTTTTTCAAACAGAATAAACATAATGCCCATTAACTGTGGCATTATTTCCAGCAGACCTATTTCAAGCCACAGGAAAAAAATGCATATCACCTAGAATAAAAAATTAAATTGTTCTGTGAATTAAAAGCTGTTTTGTTGCTTGCAATATGGATACATGCTGAGACTCAGTTAGTGAACCATTCTTCTCCTAGTATACAGTTACACATTAAAAGTAAATTAAGGAAGGCTACAAGTATTGTCCTCACATTAAAAAGAAGACAAAACATCTGCAGGGTGCTTAAGATAATGATTCTTTAAACTTCTTTTTTTCAGGTTCTTCCTTCAAGTCAAGCTGTAGCAAAGGAGAAAAAACATTAGAATTTATCCCAATAAATCTCCATCTGCAGAGAATGCATGTGCATAGTCCTCGATTGAAAGGTAAAGCATGGTTTGCAGAGAAATGCCCTAAGTATGACAAAGTATACTTAGAATTACAATTAAACTGACAGCTGAGAGTTATGGTTTTCATTTTAGCCTTTTTTAAGAAGCGAAAATGTTAATTTATATATTCAGTTTCAAGAGTCAACATAATGTGGATGTGTAAGGCTTTGGGATGAAACCTTACAACCACAGTAGGCCTGAAAGGTAGTCTGTTCAGAGTGTTGAATCTTGATGATTTTTTTCACTTAATTGAAGGATACCAGCAACAGTGTTGTTAAGCTGTTTAGATGGAATGTAAAGATGCTTCAGAAAACAAATCACAGCAAGTTTTAGTGTAGAAAATTGATTCTTCAGTAAATTCATCTGCAATTTGAACTTACGTGAATTTGGAATACTATTGAGGAGGAAGTAATTTCACAGGAAATACAGTGACTTTTAAAGAAAATTTTGAGATGAATTTCATGTGGTTTTTATTTTGCCATCCACTGAGGTTTGTGTAGGATGTATGCAGTATGGCATGATACGGACTTCTTGTGTGATTATTCCTTGTTGTCCTATTCTTTTTTCTTTTCCATATAATCATAGAATCATTTGAGTTGGAAGGCACCCTTAACAATCATCTAGTCCAACTGCCTTGGTATGAATAGGGGACTCCTACAGCTAGATCAGCTTGCTCAGAGCCCCATCCAGCTTGACCTTGAATGTCTCCAGGGATGGGGTTTCCACCACCTCGCTGGGCAACCTGTGCCAGTGCCTCATCATCCTTAACATAAAAATATTTTTTCTTATATTCAGTCTAAATCTCCCGTCTTCATTTTTGAAACCATTGTCATCTCACTACAGACCCTGCTAAATAGTCTGTGTCCCCTCCTTTCTTATAGCCCCCCATTAGAATACTGAAAAATTGCCATCAAGTCTTCCCAGAGCCTTCTCTTCTCCAGGCTGAACAGCACCAGCTCTTTCAGCCTTTCTAATAAGATCAAGTTTATGAATTCATTATTTAAAAACTCGTACTGCTGTAGGGGTATTTAATTTTTCACTTCATTTAATGGTCCCTAGAAACTCGTGAGGACACATCCTGTCATTGTTTTATGTCCAAATATGGAACCTCCCTGCTTTCCTGCGTGGTTGAATTTCATTCTCAGGATTGTTCATCTACTTGTAAATATGTAAGAAGTTGATTGAGATATTTCTAGAGAAATTGAATGCGTATTGTCCTTAGAGAACAACTCTTAAGTAAAATATGACTACAAAGAAATGACCAGCTACCCCTTCCTTCACATATCTCTAAGAAATTCTGAACCCTACACCCACATGTACCCACTGCTGAGACTAATGAAAGCTATGAGTCTGTGCTGAACCCTAGAAATCACGTTCAATGTTTTCTTGCCTTGTCTTCTGAAGCCACAAGCTTTTGATACTGACCACAGATCTTGGAAAACTAAGGAGGGTTAATTAAATTTCTTTTAAATTATTTTCAAAAAGAATTTCAGGAGTTTCATGTTCTTCTTGTGCTTATGACTTTTCAAACAAATACACAAGAATATATGTGCATTGAAATACATTTGTAATTCTAAGTGTGGTTAAAAATATTCAGTTGTGCCAGTGCAGAACTAATACTGTATTGTTTCATACTGACGTGCTGCATGATGTTCAGTAGGATTCACATGTGTTTAGTGCACTGACTGAATTTTTCATTATGATCTATAGTGCCAGTAGGGGTGTAAAAGCCTGTCTTACCTGTCTTGTTTCTGAGGTGTTTTTCTTTCCACTGTGGCACTGGAGATAGTGGTAGAGCATGCTAAATTTCTTCCCAAGGATTGTAGGGTGGACTCACTAGAATAGGTGATATAAGTAGCCATGAATAAAAATGTTATTTCTAAACTTAACGTATCCTATTTCCTAGGAAACCTTAATGAACTCAGTTCTGCTTGTGTCTAAATGAGCTCTTTCAGTGCTATTCTGTACTATGTAAGCATTTTCTTAGTCTTAAATGCAATTATCTCAGAATTATGCTGAAAATAGAGTATTTATACCTTCTGGAAAGTGGGGATAATTTTCTATAATGTATTCTGTCATTTAATAGAGAAATCTGCTCCTTGGATGTTGTTTTAGCAGCATCCTATGCAAATACAACATTATATTAGATGACCATAGCATAGTAAATGCCTTATGGACAAATAGAGATCTGTTGAATTTGCAGGCACCCTACAAATGTGCAAATTACACTTGCTAAGGTTTTTGCCTTAGCAGTACAATCTAATGCTAGGCAGATTATAAAATATTAGAGCTGCTTCAAAAGCACTGCCTCCCATTTTATTATCTTGGCCCACAACATCAGAGGTGGATGGTATAGCAGCAGAGGCTGAACCTTCCTGACAGTATCCCATTGCATTTTGTTGCCACGTGACAGAAGGCAGCAGAGGTACATTCGGGTAAAATAGCATCCGATGTGGAAGTGCTTATGAAGCAGATGTGCATCACTGAATTCCTCTATGCGGAAAACATTGCACCCATTGACATTCTTTGATTTCTGAACCTTTTTGGAGACCAAACAGTGGTCTTCAAAGCACAGCCTTCAGCAATTTGAATGATGTGCACTGTCTTCTGGGATAGGAGAGGGGGTGATTATTACGGATTTCCTGAAGCCCAGAAAAAACATCATCTCTGACCTGTACATTGCCATCCTGAATAAGCTGAAAGCTGGAACTTCCAGAACCAGGCCAGAGAAGAAGACAGTCTTTCTCTTGCAACATGATAACACCAGGCCCCACAGCAGTTTGAAGACCATGGAGCACATGGCCAATCTTGGCTGCATTGTCCTACCACACCCACCACATAATATCTGGATCCATTAGAGATCCAAAGAATCTGAATCTGGCACCTTCTGACTTCAATCTGTTCAGACTGATGAAAGACAGACTGTGTAGGCAACGTTTTCCTAGCAGAGGCACTGTTGTAGCAGCTCTGAAACAGCAGGTCACCTCTGCTGGTGTGGATTTCTATGAGCGTGGTATGCAGGCTCTTGTTGATGGCTAGCAAAAGTGCATCACTAATGGTGACAAAAGTGATGAAAAAAACAGTGCTCTATTAAATAGTATCTGTTGTATCTGTTGTAGTTTGCATAGAAAAAAAAATAGAAGGCATTACTTCTAGAGCTACCTACCTAAAATACATCCATTTATCATTTTCTTCTCTCACTCCAAAATTTCTCTTTAAGTCTTTGTCAGGTCATTTTGTTTATCAACATGACACACATTGTGCTCAGCATCATCTTCAACCCTTCTTTCAGAATCAAACTCCAGCTTTGCTTTCTGAATCTTCTTGCTAAGCCCCACAAGCTGTCTACATGCCAGTCTTTTCTGGCCCTACTGTCTTTGTTTCAGCAGAGACAGAACTGCTTTTCTTCAGAGCGTCTGGTATGATGTTACGTTTTGGTTCTGGCAAAAAAACAATGTTCACAGCAGTGCTTTGTACCTGTGAATTTGCTGTATTAAATACTGTTTTTGTACTCTTAGTACCTGTTGTAGTTTCCATGCAAATGATTAAGTGGATTTACTCCTAGAGTAACTAACGTAAAAACAAAAAATAATTACAGTATTATCACGTTACATATTGGTGATGTTCCTCCACTTCTGGGAAGAGGAACAGAGACTTCCTATTGCCTGTTAGAACTGTTCTAGTTGAGTATTTTTTCTTTCTTTTACTGAAGAACTGTGCCTTTAAAAATTTTTACGGCGTGACAGAATATGACAGCATGACTTCTAATTCATCTAATGTTTTGAAGTTAGTTAATAACTCTAACAGAAGTAATTACAGATTAAATTGCTGGCCACTTGTAGTCCTAATTTTATGTCTTTTCAAGAAAACATCTCTGGGAGTAGTATTTTTGTTTGCTAAGTTGTAAAGTGGAATGAAGTATGCTACTCATCTACATTTTAGCACTACTTTATTTTGTTTTTGGTTAATTTTCTCCTTTTTGTCCTCAAATTAGAAACTGATATCAGAATTTTCTTCTAAATTTAGATATTTCTTTAAACTCTAAAACTCTCCCTTTTTTCTTTAGGTGAGAATTAGATAACATTGTTCTAGCTATACTCATCTTTGGTGATTGCGAAGCATTAATTAAGATGAGAACTTGTGTTAAAATCAGGAGATGCATATAGGCATACGTCTTTTAAGACTGACACCTTATTTATAGGGAACTATTTTTGTTTCCCTTCATACTACATTAATTCATCAGTATGTTTAGGATGTTTTGGTAGCATTATATTATAACTATGGCAGAAGATAATTGAAGGTGATTATACTTGCCTTTTGTTGGATAAATGATTTTCGTACCTATTGCTCAACATCCCATCTGTTTGGTTTACTGCAATAAGTTTCATTTTATGAGCACTGAAGAGCTGTGTCTTCTATTAGATATATGGTGATATATTTTTGAACAGTTTGTATCAATTGCTGCTCGTTTTGGTGTGAGCAGCACGTGGACATCAGGTTGATCTTTTTCCTCATTGGCTTTACTTGTCATGTATCAAATGGCAGCCAGAATATCACACAAGCAAATGAGCCATAAAGCAGTCATTAACCCTTATGCTTTCAGATATCTTCAGTCTGGGGATGCAAGGTAGGTCTTAATCACGTCGTATCATATGTATGCTTATGGATACTTACTGTTTTGTTCAACATGTCCAATAACAGGGTTGCTTTTACTGACCTTTGACTCAGGTTACTATACAGTACTGACATGGAATAGAATATACCTGTATGTTTAACTTTCCAGTAGGAACATCTTTGAGAAAAATAGCGTTTTACTCTAAAACAACTGTTATCTGTATCCCTATCCATTTGCTAAGCACAATTTTTTGGTCTGTTCATCATACTGCAGAACTTGAGTGTGTATATATAGTTCTGATTTTGTCCCTGCTATACAAAAAACATACTTGTTTTAAATGAATTTGGTGCAACGTTGCCTCTGTGTCCAAGATAATCACTGCCTCCTGTGAAGGCAAGAGAGTTGTTTCAAGTTCTAAACTGAGCTGTGCTTCTAGAAATCTCTCAGCTCTTTAAACTGACCTGACTAAATTGAGGTTTGTGGAACTGTGTTGCGGTGGTTTTCCCCATGGTGCACCTGTTTTACTCAGGACATAGTGATGAGCAGGTAGTTTATACGTCTGCAAGGTGGAGGAGTTGTGATTTGGGAAGTGTCAAAGCGTTTCACTTGTATAAGGAGCAGGTGAATGTGTCTTTCCGTCAGAATAATTAGAGTGAAATATTAAAAGCCCTATTTCCTTATTTTTTTTTAATGCTTTGGTGTTGTTTTTTTCCCCTTTAAATTCTGAACTGATTATTTGAGGGGAAGCTCTTTTTTTTCTTTTCCCACTCCTGCTTCCCAATATCTATTAATTTTTAGTTTCTGTGGAGCATGCTGACAATATTGATATAGCTCCTATCACTCTTAGCGACTTTTTAAGCTTTGTCTCCGCTGTGGAATGTTGTCAACACTTGTCTTTTCTTGACGTGGGTGATGGTTCTGAGTCAGTGGAACATTCCTGTACCAGTACACTTGTGCTGACAGTGCATACCTTTCATGAGGAGCTGCACTGGTGTGTAAATGGAGCACATCACAAGCAATTTTTCCCAAGAATGCACCACTTTCGAACGCAGGGTATTCTGGAGGGTGAGAGGTAGAACAACCCATGCCCATCACCATGGTGATAGAAGTTTTCTTTGCTGACCTTAGTCTCCCATGTTCTTTTGCATGTGGGAGGTGGCTCAGCTGATATGGATGTGTTTGCATCTGAATGAGCTGCTTCTTGACATATACTAAGAGGCTACAGTCTCAATGAAAGCTACCTTCTGAGCAGATCCCCTGAGGTAGTTACAATCACTTTTGTTTTTAAAACAACTCCACAAAAGCACTAGGACACTTAGTCTTTAATCTATTTTCCTTTAGTTTTGAGTTCTCTGAAAACATATTCAGAAGCCGTTATGCAGTTAGACTGATGAGTTCATCTCTTTATTTTCAAGCCCTCTTGTCTAAACAATAGAACTGTGGAGCTCTAATAGCCCAAGATTGTGTTATTGATAAATGTCCATGAAGATTTGAAAGAATGGACTACTAAAGAATCCTGAATCTCACCTGAGGCTAAAGATATTATGTTGCTTCTCCTTTTAAGAAAGAGTTGACGAGCCACCAATTCATTAGAGTTGGAATCAGTTTGAGTGAATATGTTTTGAGATTCAGCTCTGGAAGTAAAACATAGTTCATTAACTCTGAGTCATTTTTACAGTGTTCTTCCTTCGAGCGGTATTTATCATCAGAATGCAAGAAAAGTTCTATTTTAGGAGAGAGTGAGATTTTAATTTACATTGAAAGCTTCCTTGATGAATAAAACAGTTCACAAAATAAAATTAAAAACAAAATAAAATTAAAATTAATGTTTCCTTTAGAAGAATGTTTTAAAAATGCATTAGTTTGGCCTGTGTTTTTATACCTCCGATGAATGCAGCATAATACTGCTTAGTGCAAATGGGAATTCAAACTTTAAAGAGTGATTGTGGATGGAACTGTCCTCATCTTCATTCTCTCAATTGCAAGCCCCAAATGAGAGGCTGTTTCTAAAAAAGCATTGCATCTCCCGTTCTGTAAGCATACATCCATAGAAAAAACATTGTGCATATCATTACACACAGAGTAACAACAGATTCTCACATTCAGCAGCATATTTATTTCACATCTTGGTAACTTTTCAGGTGAAGACAGTTACCGTGTTTATAAGCATACATAAAATTAAAAAGTGATTGAAAATGAGTCTTGAATGCAATGTCAAGAAGGTTGTTATATCTGAAAGTAGAAGCTAAATAAATTCAAACTAGAAGCAGAGAGGAAGTTTTTACTGGTCGGTTTGAGTAGTACTCTGGGGATGAAAAAGAATTTACTGTCACTTGAAGTCTTTAAATCAAAATTACTTGAAAAAAAATAAGTTTGCTCAACCATCAAGACATAAGCTTGATGCAGCAATCATTAGCTGTAATTCTATAACCTGTATCAGGTAGTCAGACTATTTCATCACATTGATCTCCTGACTCTGAAATGCATGAATCTGTGCATTTCAGCATGACTGCAGTTTAAATAATGGAAGATGTAATGAAGTGAAATACACAAAGGACCAATTTACTTTGTAGCTCTGTAAACTGCAGAACCAGAGTATTTTTCTTTATTGTGGCATATAATTTAGACATAGTAATAAATCAGGTAAACTTTCTAATGTGTGCAGGTGGCTGTGTAGAAAGATGGATTAGCTCCTGGGCCTTCTTGAGACACAGATTCTTGATTATTCCTTGGAAATAGTAGACTTATTCTCTTCATATTGTAGAGTAGATCAGTGTTGCCATGCTCTGGGCATAGGTTCACACAACTCTCTGCTTGTCTCTTCTTGTTCCAGATGCTCTGTATGATGTAATCACCGTGGGAGCCCCAGCAGCACATTTCCAGGGATTTAAGAATGGTGGACTCCGAAAACTGCTGAGTAAATTTGAGGCAGAAAGGCGAAAGTAAGTATTTCTATAATGACTAAGCAAGTATTGTTAAATCTGCATTTTAATGTTAGTTACAAAACAATTTCTCCCTGCTGGATGCATGAAAAAATTAAAATCTAGTACAACTGGGTAAGCATTCATTCATAAAACTACAAGGCTACAAAACTGTAGCACGGTTTACCTGTAGTGCCAAGGTTTATTTTGGACACAAATGCTAAGCAGTGAAATTTTCTTCCCATGTTTCAGGGAGCCTGAGGAATACCTGTGCTAGAAAGCATGCTGTTCAGAATGAGGCATCTCTTCTGTAATATTTGAGCCCAAGTAGAAAATAGCTATAGACAACTTTTCAATAAAGAAACAGTAGCTTGTGGTACGATCTTCATTTCTGACAGCCTTGGGCATGTGAGCCAAAATACTTTTCAGCACCCCTGTGAAGTATATCAGTATGTATTGTTTTTTGTCATAAAATCCAAATGACACTAAGTAAAGGTAAAGGCCTGAACTAAGATACCCATTTGCTTTAAGTTAAACCTTAAGCATGTACAGCAGTGTTAGTTAAATGTCTTGCTAACAAAGTATTAGCCGTGTATGTTTGTTGCTATGGCTGCCAAGTTTTGAGCAGGCACAGCTCTCACTGGCAGCACTGTCTTTAGGGTGATGTAACTAGAAAGACTGTGTCACTATCCGTTCAGATTCTTCACAGGAAAAGAATCTGAAGTCGTACTGACAAACTTAAATTTGAGCACTGACAATGGGGGAGTGCAGCTTCTAGCAAATTGCTTGCTAATCCTGAAGGAGAGATCACTTAGCATATGAATTTTCACAAGATAGAATGAAGAATTTCCAAAAGTCGTCTTCCTTTCTGTCTTTGAGGAGCTCTCAAGGGAAATTCAGTTGGGCCAAAAAATGAGTGGAAGCAAGCTCTGAATATAATTTTGCTTATTTGAAAATTTAAAATTGGGGATATTTTAAATAGATACTCGTAAGGGCCATTGTCATTCTTACCATGGAGAAAATTCTTTCGCTGTGGCAATAACGGGTTTTGTATGTGACTGTTTATTTAGCCTCTCTGGGATGCTTTGAGGATGCTTAGCATTTCCGGGGGCAGACTTTACAATTTAAATTTCCTGTTCTACAATTGAAGCAGCTTTTCTGAAGCTATGAGTGAAGAAAGAAGTGATACCTTGAGATATCAGTCAGAATATAAAATGAGCAGGGAAAAATGCATATTTAGCTGCTTTTTCCTCTAGGCTAACTGAGCTGAAGACCTGGGGAAAGATGTGGGAAGAGATTATTCCTCAATCCACTCCTGGTAACTTTCAAGACGACATTGTCAGTGTCCATGTGATGGAACGTCTTGCATGTCTTTGACCTTCAGGCTGATTAGTAGAACAAAGTATTGAAATATTCAACATTGTCAACATATCACAAAATATTCCCTTCTCAAATCTGGGCTCGTGGAATTATCAGACAGCAGGAAGCGTTAACTGGTAGCAAGGTTATATCACCCTTTACAAGATGTAATTACGTTAGCAATTGCCAGATTAAAAGGATTGTGTAATAGATATATCTGTTTGAAGATGAGCGTGGATTTCTGTTGCATATAATACAGATCACTGGGCAGACCAAACGGAAGAGAAGGTTTTTTGTAAAAAATACTTATTAAAAATGTAGTATTTAAATGAATTCTTTTGATAATTGCAAGCAGGTAAGACTAGAAAATAAATGTAAAAATCATTTTAAGTAAGCAAGTTTCAGTTGAAAAACTGGAAAGAAGATCCAGTTGTAAAACAGCACTTAATCATATGTGATCTAAAGTCAGTTGCATTGCTTTATAACCCATTCATAATCTGTACAATTCTGTATCTTCAGCAAAGTTGCAGATAAGTGGCTTCAACACTATAAAAGTTAGGCATGTCTTCAATGTATGTCTGTAGGTTGTCTGTTCTTTTGGTAGTTCTCAGTGAACTTCATAAGAACTTCATAAGTAAGAACAGGAGATACTTTTAAGTCATATTTTGCTGTGAGACCATTTAAATTCAAATAACTGAAATGTGCTGATTAAGGTATGCTAAATCACTGCAAAGCAATTAAAATAATTATCTGTGTATGATATACATTTATTTAGGGTTTTTTCATGACTGCTGCTTTTTACTTTTTTCCTTCTTTCTAGCTAAAAGAGAAAGTAAATCGGTTGTTCAGATTCAGTCTTCTGTAAGCCTGATAATTACTTTTCCTTCCAGCAAATGGAAGGACTTGTCTTATGATTGGTCTAGACAGCAAAGCAAATTTAGAGAGCTCAGTTGTGCAGCAACAGTAAAAGCAGGTGTTCTGTAAGTTATACCCATGTTATACCTCTCTGTTTTAAGGGTTCATAAATCACTTTCAGGGTACATCAGGGATGTTTTTTCTTATAATCATAAGTCTAAGATATTTTAATATTTTAATGCCCAAGTGCTAACCATCAAGAAAAACAGAAATGTTCCAGCTGCATTAGATGTTGTAATTCACTATGGTTTTTTACATAGTTTCTAGCAAGATCTTCATAACTGATCCCTCATTAAATTAGCAAAAACTTAAAGAAGTAATACAAATGTGTTGTATTTTTGTTTGGATTTTTTGGCCATAATTAGTTTGAGTTTGAACTAAGAGGATTTTTTTCTTGTTTGACGAGGTTTAGATAAATGACTTTCCTAACTTCTTTCACTAACTTACTTGCCAACAGAGGTTTTATTAAAGCTGAGATCTTCAGGGCTCCTATACATGAATTTCATAACGTTCAACCATTTCTATTCTCCAAGGAATCTGAAATAAAATTGCTTCATAGGAAAGCCCAGAGATGTTAAAATAAAGATGATTTGTGTTTGGGCTAACTTGAATCTTGATTCTCAAGGGAAATCATAACTTGTAGTGTACAGTACTTCTCACAGAGATGTTCTTTGCTCATTTTTTCTCTTTTCGTATGTACATGTGTGTAGATATGTGTATGTAAAAGAATGTCAGCCTTCATGGAGATGAACATTTTTTTAGACTGACCAAACCTATCTATGTAGTAAGGTTGTTGGAAGTGTTACAGAGAAACTTCCATAGTTCATGTACTATTCATTGGTATAAACATTATATCTGAACATTTTTCAGCCGCTAGTCTCTCTGAACAGAACTTCTTGATGCATTTCCTTAAGGAGGCCTGAAAGAAGGGTAGTGTGGACTGGAAAATGAATAGAAAGGGGGGGGGGGGGTTTAGAGATTCTTTGCATGTGAAGGTTAGAAAGGATTTCCTTTGGAAAGCAAAAAATTATATCAGGGTTCCAGGTGTGATGGGGAGAGAACAGATTGATGACTTTGTCAATCTTTCTCTGTGGAACAAAAGAGGAGGACAACACGTCTTAAACAGTGTCCTCCAGATGTGGAGGCTGCCAGGAAAAGACTACACTGAAAGATGTCATTTATTCTCAGTTTTGTGGTGAAGTATAATAGCTTTTGTCTTCTGCTAAAATTCTTGCTCAGTTACCCTGGATAAGGTTCTTCCCTATGTTAAGGATTATTTTATCTTTCCATTAGCTCAAAGATACAGAAAAAACAATTTGAAGAAATACAGAAGGCGTTTCCTAGATAGTCATGCTTCCCTGACTACCTTCCTAGGAAGATTCAGTTTGAGCATGAATTCAGTGGAAGGCTGATGAAGGGTGTCATGACTTCTGTTTTCACTGAAACATGTCCCATTATCAATTAAAGTCAGTTATTTAATGTTACTTTAAGAGGAATTAAGAGGTACTAGAAGAGCAGCAAGAGATGCCCTGTGTGTACAGGCTTGTTCATTGCTTCACGGATAGGATTGGTAGAAATTCAGATTTCATCAAAGAAAATGGATTGAATGGAGACAGTGAATTTCTGAATTGTCAAGAGAATCTTTAGGGAAAAAAAAAGCCATTACTGGGACATGTAATCTCTCTCAGGACTGCTTTCAAGACCTCAGTACTGATCATATGGTTTGTTTTCAGATGCAGTAAATTTTCCTAGTTTTTTTTTCTTTTTTTTTTAATGCAGTCAGTTGAATTTTGATAGGACAAGGGGGAATAGTTTTAAGTTCAAGGAGGGAAATTTTTGACTGGTTGTCAAGGGGAAGTTCTTCACAGAGTGTGGTGAGGTGCTGGAACAGGCAACCTGGTCTAGTACCAAATCTGGAGGTTGGTGGCTGTGTGTGTGGCAGGGGGGCTGGAACTTGATAATTCTTGGGGTCCTTTCCAACCCAAGCTGTTCTATGATTCTAAATCATAGCTTTAGATGGGATACATGTGATGCTTTAAAACAAGCCTCTGCACTGGTAGCTTCTGTAAGGTACGTAAGCTTGAGATTACATGGCAAGAGATGTTTTTTGTTGTGTATTTTTAAACTGTATTCTGGAAGTTATCTTCTGCAGTTTTTATTTTGAAAAATGTGAAATGTTCATTGTTAAAAGACTTTAAGCCAGTCGCAGATGGTGATAATTTAACTTAGTCACACAAATGACTCAGTTAACAGCAGGAGTATAGAGTTACCCTGAGTGTCATAAAAATTTAGACACTTAGCATATTGTCGTATTTATTTTCAGGCAAGAACTTTGTTAGTTCAAAGTTGAAATTGCAGATTTCGTTGACATATTCTTTATAAAAATTACATGATGTTGTCATTAAAGCCATTCAAAAACTGAAAAGACCGCTGAAAGTCATGTGTTTGTAGTAATGAGTACCAATACATGAAATACATTTTATATGCTGAGTGAAGGCTTTGAAACCTAACCCGTGATACACTGCTATAGACTTCCAAAAGGTAATATTTGTCCAATATTTTACTTAATATTTCAAGGATAGATTTTTGTATTGCTTCTGATTTCTTACACTGAGCCTGCCTGTGTGATCTTTACCCTAATGCAGAAGTTTCTTCTTGTTGTTCCCTTTGTCTAGTTTCAACAGGAATTTCAACCATATGTTGGATGGGCAGCAGCTTTAAAGCTGCTTTGAAGTTGTATTACTTGCTGTCGTGTATGTTGCTATGGCACCTCAGTTCCAGAGGTATTTATTTAAAAGGAAACTCATTTTATTCAGTTAGAAACTTCAAACATCCCTTAACATGTTGTACAGGAAAAATAACAGCTCGCTTTCTTTGGACATGTAGCTTTTCTGCTGCGACATTCACTGAGGCATGGGAGATCAATGGAAAAGATCTGGTAATTAAGGGCTGAGGAGAATCCCAGAAAGGAATATGTATACAGTGAGCTTGGTAAGTGTTAGCCAAATTCAGCCTGCAAAAAAAGGCTGTTTGATAAAGAGAGGGAGAAGTCAGAAGGAGTGCTTAGAGATGATTCAGTGCTGTGAAGTATCAAGACTTTTAAGACAATTAATATAGACAGTTGTTCTTGAGTGTTGAGTGGATGGACAATAATTCTGACGTGACTGGCAGTGTTGCCTCCTTGAGGGCAGAGCTGTGACCATTTCCTTAGTTCTTACAAAGAATTTTTTTTTCTTACAAAACTAAGACAGTTTCTACAGTCCTTTTTGTTGAGCTCTGCAGAATTCTGCTCTGCATTTGGTAGTCAGTAACTAGTTCAATGGACTGTGAATTAGGAACTTAGTAATTTTGATGTGGTTGGTAGCATAACTGATCACAGCAGAGCTTCACTGGCTTAAATACCATGCATCCTGATCACCTCTACAAAAAATTATATTTTAAAATGTAGGCATTAGTGACAAAATTAGGATTTAGTGTTGTGTAATTTGGGGCAGTGGCTCAGCAAAGTAAGTGTCTAAGGAAGATGCTTATTTTTAAGACTTCGAATCCATTCTTACTTGCAAAATGGTTTATGTGCTTTAGATTCTGTGGAAGTTGCTTCATTTGCATCTGTGTGCATGTCCTTTATTGAATTAAATTTAATTTCTTATTTATAGAAAGCTAACAAGGGGGAACTGGAAGGGATACTGAAGGGGAAATGGGAGAGAAGAGTTCTGAAAAAGGGCTGAAATGAAAAGCAACAATCAGTGAAGTTCCAAAGACTACACAAGTGTAAAAATTCAGGTCTTGATCAGTGAAGAAATTGGGGGGAGGTGAGGGGGGGTTATGGGCATAAAGGTGTGGAAGAAAAGACACAAGAAGAAAGATGAGAGATGCATACTGAGGCAGCTGGGGATGCTCTGTCATTGATAATGTTCCAGGAGTTGCTCGGTGATGTAATTAAATACATATTAATGAGTGTAATATAGCCAGCTAGGCATTTTGTGCATGGGCTATTGGAATGGCCTGACATCTGTTTTTTTTTAATCCATTAGGTCCTGTTACTCCTCTTCCTTGAGCTCTCCACTGAGTAGTTAATCAAATAAAATCTGTTGAAGGCATGAATAAATTAGGAGTGAAATACACTGTGCACCCAGGTCTTGTTTGCTGTGCCTTTTTTTTCTTCACCAGTAGGAATATACTCTGCCTAAAAATGGTATTTTGCAATAATGAGATGAAAGGATAATGTATAATTAATAAATGTTGGGGAAAAAAAACAATGACAAAAGGATGATTTTTGAAAAGGAAAAATAAGCATTACAGAGTATGTGCAGTAGTTTGTGAACAGTTAAAAGGAAAGCAGAAAGTTTGGTTGTCCGAATTAATGTCCCCTGATGTTCAAATGAAGACTTTAAAGGAGGAAGAGTTTCAGTGATAACAGTCAATTTTTGGTTTCCGTCATTCTTACGATATCTATTAAAATTTCTTAGCACATTAATCACAGTAATAGCAGAAATCATTTTGATGTGCATCTATCTTTCTGTTGTTACAGTACTGGATACCAGTGTATTTACTATTCACCTGAAAACACAGCTAAGGCAAAAGAAGTTCTCAGCAACATCAATCATCTACAACCTCTCATATCAAGCCATGCAGACCTTCTGCTTAATTCTGCAAGCCAGCATTCTCCGGACAGCTTGAAGAACTCTTTAAAGATGCTTTCAGAAAAAGTAAGATTCAAATCTTTGCTGCAGTGGAAAATGAAATAACCAAGTCTGTAGCTGCAGGGGCTTTTTTTCCAGCATAAGTTGCATTTCATAGCATTTAAAATAAGCTTCAAAATGTTGTCATCAAAAAAAGGAAAAAAAAAAACATTATCTTGCCTTTCTGCAGGTATTCATGTAGAAAACTAATGGAGCTTATAAGAGTTGGCATTATTTGAAAGTAATTAATGTAATTAATGTAATTTCATGTGTCTTTGTTAGCCTCTTGTGGTCACATAATAGGGTTTATCAAAAATAGATCATTGTAAATAATTTTGTGGGATGATAAACTGTAATATTTCTCCTTCTGTGATACTTCAACTGCCTATGGGAGGTAGTTCAAGCTAGTGCACAAAGGTGAGAATAATAGCATGACCAGGCATGATGCAGTTTGGAAGGACAAGTTGGAACTAGGAGGTCTCAATTTTAGTCGTCCTTGTCCTATTATTTTCTTCTATAGCTGTAGGCACCTCCTCATCTTAGGTTCTTTAGCCCTAAATTAAGGAAGATACTATTTTCCACCTGTCTCACAGAGGGATTTTGGAGATTAGCTTAAGTCTCCAAAGTACTTCTAAGCATATGTTTCTCTACAAAAAATGTTAAGTGCTACAGCTATAACCAATGGGGTTTTAAAATTTTCCTGTTGCTTCATGGGCCCTACCTTCTGTAATGTGATCTCAATATGACTTAATAGCACGATCAATAATCATTTCAATATATCTTCATCTACCGGGAAGTGACAACCCCTGTGGTCTGTTGAGCTGTTATCCCAGCAGTACGTTGTTCAGTGTGAGAGTTTCAAATCTCCATATTAAGCTCAGCCACATACTGTGATGGCATTGCACTGGAGCCACAGGGGTGACAAATGTTGCTCTTGGTTATAGATGTGTAAATCCACAGTAACTTTAGGAGAAGTGGAGTTGCTGCAAATGTGAGGGATATATAGGAAAGGAGAACTTGGCCTGAAAATAAAAGGGAGGAATTCATTTCGTTATACCCTGTGTGTACCTTTTACATGTAAGCAAGAAATTTTCTGTTACTTAAATTGATGACCATTTTCAAGTTAAGAAGCTGTTTGAACAAGCTGGGAAAAAAAATATTTGTAATTACATTTCTCAAATTTGTTCGAAAGTGTGTCATTTTCAACTCAAGGCAATATTAAGCATCATATAAAGACTGACTATTTCCAAACATTAGGTAGCAGTAAAATGTGAGTTACAGCCAAGTAATTTTATTAGAAATGGAAGGACCGGCTGCATGCATTGGAAGTGAAAATAATTTCACCCCTTATTTTATTGACCTTATTCTCTAATATTTCTATCATGGTTTTACTTCTCCGTGTATGATTTGGAATTTACTGTACAGTTTTTTTCTGAGACTAATCTTTTATCAGCACTTTCTGTTAATTGATTTAAAAAGCCATTAGCTGTTGACAAGTGTATCAGCGTTTGCAGCTTGCAGAAGGTTTGATACATTCATTTTCCAGCTATGCCTATCTTTATTTACAGAAATACTCTTTAGTCAAGTATCTAAAGGAACTTGAAAGTTTGCATTTCTTTGTATATACTTGTTTTGTGGCTTCAGTAAAATTCTATAAATAGTGATGTTCTGCAAATTTGGCTGTATTTAACTGTAAGAAAATATAGCTAAATGTTGATAGCTGTTAAACCGGTGGAATCTTTGAATGGAATTTAATTACAGTAGAATTTTAGTTTCTATATAAAAAAAAAAAAGACTTCCATACCAACTTATTTTTCTAAAACGCATTCTTCCCTATAAAACATTTACATCTAAATGAAATTACTTAAACTTTTCAGAGTTACCTAATATGCATCATAGTCATAGTAGGCATTCCTGACAAAATTGTCTGGTGCTTACGACTTTCTGAAACTGAAAGCTTTTTTTTGAATTTGCCATTCCTGATGCAGAAACCTGGTATGATCTCAAACAGGTTGTGGTAGGGGAAGAGAGTGGCAAGACTTCAGCAAAACCATCGCATTGTCATTTCTAATGACAGACAAGTAGTTTGGGCTATTCTGACAGGAACTATAGAATTGCCACAAAAAGTAGCTCCACTGTTACTGTGTGAGAGAAGACAATTCTGTAGTTAAAACTTTACGTCATTTTGAAAGAAGATGGATATGGTTTGGTAGCGACGGTGCTTAGACTGTGTTCTCTAAGTGTGTACCATTCGGAGGCTGGAAGTGCAAAACAACAAAATTGTCTTGCAGTTAATTTCAAGACAATGAGGCAGTCCTGAAGGTCTACAAATAAGAAAATGGTCTGAATTTAAGTAGCCTTTCCCTCAGGTACTAAATTAGTGGAGAGGCAAAACGGGTCTGATAAAATTGCCTGAGAGTTAAATAGTATTGATTGTGCCTAATCACAGAAGAATCTCAAATTAAGTCCAGAAGAAGTCCTGATGCTAACTCAAAAATACACGACTTCGTGTTTCTAAGGTTGTTATTTTAAAACCTTCTGAGTTTTAGTTGCAGCGAATTTTCATGCATTCTCTGTTTAGCCATTAGGGATCAAATGCTGAGAGACATGTGACACTTCATTCTGGAGAAGGCTGAGAGGGGATCTCAAAACAATCTAAAATGCAGCAGTCAAGCTGATGGGGATGGTCTCTTTTTCAATTACATCAACAATAGGACAAGGGAAATGTGCAGAAACTGGAACCCAAGCAGTTCAATAGGGAAGAACTTCTTAACTCTGAGTGATGAAGCCCTCAAACAAGCTGCTCAGAAAGGTTGTGGGGTCTCCTTCTCTGGAGATATTCAGGACACATCCATATACCTTCCTGAGTGACCTACTGTAGGTGAAGCTGCTTTAGCAGAGGGATTGGTCTACATCTCTAAAGGTTCCTTCCGACCCCTATGATTCTGTGATCAAGAAGAGGTTTTTTTCTGAAAACAGCAGAAGAGCAGAAACTTCTCATGCAGGTGTCCAACCTCAGCAGCTAAAGCTTTAATGACATAAAACATTATCAATTCTTCAGAGCATTGTGGTCTAAATGTCAGTTGGCTTAAGAGGGCTATAGAGGCAGAAAACCAAGGAAAAAGAATAGTTTGAGTAAAGGCACAAAAGTCAAGTAAGTACTAGTCAAAAGGGACTGGATAAAAACACTGGGAAGGAGTGCAGAAACTGGGGGAAAGATTTCCAGGAAGATAGAGGCTAACACTTATAACTTAAGGGCGTTTGTTTTCATTGAATCATTAAATGGTTTGGTTTGGAAGGGACCTTTTAAGATCATCCACTTCCAACCCCCCTGCTTTAGGCAGGGACACGTCCCACTAGATCAGGTTGCTCATAGCCTCATCCAGTCCGGCCTTGAATGCATCCACAACCTCACTGGGCAACTTGTTCCAGTATCTCACCACTAACACAGTAAAGAATTTCTTACTAGTATCTTGTTTAAATCCTCTTCAAGTTTAAAACTGTTTTCCCTTGTCCTGTTGCACTTCTAAAAAGTCCCTTTCCAGCTTTCTTGTAGGCTCCTTTCAGGTACTGGAAGGCTGCTATAAGACCTGTGTCTGTCTTGTGTTGGGTGCTCCAGAACTGGATGCAGTATTCCAGGTGCGGTCTCATGAGAGTAGAGTAGAGGAGCAGAATCACCTCCCTCGACCTGCTCATGATGCAACCCAGGATACGTTTGGCCCTCTGGGTTGCCAGCTCATATTGAGTGTTCCATCAACCTGTGGAACCATTCTCCTGTTCTTTTCTTTGTGTTTTTTTTCTTGTTTTTTTTTTTTTCTCCTGGCTCTGTCTTCTGGACTTTTCATAAGAAGCATGGAAGAGTTGAAGGAAGCTTAGCTAGGCAATCTTTATTTCTACTATTTCCTAGCTCTGTGTAACTGCTTGTTTAGGCTCATCACTCTACAGGCATATATTTTCTGTGTGCTTGTTTATTTAAGATGTGCGTGCAAAGGTAGTTCACTGTCTGAAGCTGTCCAGTAAATAGTAAATCAACTAAATCCCACTGATAGGGTAAATAAATTCAAATAATTATGGAGTGGAAGGAATGAGAAACAGTACTTCATTGTCTCCTGTGAACCAAAGCCCCCTAAGCAGAGATAGGAGGTACAGTAGCCTGTGGTAAATTGTCAGGGTGCATGCTGTCCCATCTCAGACAGATTAAGTCTGATGACCATTGCTGAAGTAACTAAAATTGACTCCCCCAGCTGTCTCTGCTTTGCTTGTGATTGCTGCCATGCAATGAAAAGGAATGTGTGCTTGTGCCTCACTCTCTCTGGTTCAATTGGTTGCATCAGCTGATGGTGTGAATGGGCCAGCACCCTTCAGAGAAATAGTGAAAACAGGGCCCTATGTGTATGACAGCAGGAGGTGGGTGAGCATGGCAAACACTGAGTGTGGGGAACCAGCGCTCTTCAAAAGGCAGTTCTTGAAGGTTGTCAGTCTAAACTAAAAGTTGAGAGTCACAGTCTTATACTAGGATAAAAAAAAAAAGTTGACCAAGAGCACACCCTTGTAGGGTAAGATCTGTTTTATGCTTTTCTGCATGCCTTTGTTGTACTGAAGATACGTAAAAACTCATGCAGTGAGGATTTTCCATTCTAGTTGGCACAAGTCTCATTCTAGTGACACAGCATGTTGTAATAATATGATCTACAATCCTCTCTTACTTTTTAAAACCCGTTTATTATGGGGTCTCCAAAAGTCTTTTGCGTTGTGATACAGCAGAATTAGTGCAATGTGAAATGCTAACTTATATTCACATCCCTGAATTAATCTGTCTGAGATATCACACTCCATATTGCAACTTGATTGTAACTTGAGAATGACTTAGAAAATAACAGTTGAATGGTTTATGCTGTTACATAGAGACAAAGGCTGGAGATGCTGAAGACCATATGCAGAAAGGATGAATGTTATCATTTTTACTTCTTGTTGTTGTTTTGGTAGAAGGAAATAATGCAGGGAGATGGGAAGTTTTTAAAAATAAGATAAACTTCGATCTGTTATAGTCAGAAAGGAGATCTTATAAATGTTAGACTGATTGTCGATAAGTAACATCTTGTTGTAATATTAACAATTCTATAATATAATAATTGTGTAATATTGTTATAATTATATAATAAGTAACATCTTATTGTTGTAATTGTATTGAGCCTGAAAAATTCCTTCAAGGGTTCATTCCTTTCTTTAAAAGTCTGGACTGATACCTATAGGTATCACAACTTGTATTTGGAAATACTGCTTTTGCAGGTACTTGAATTTCAACAGTGTAGAGTGGAGTGTTGTTTATTTAAGGAGATCTCAGCCCAAGGAGGCTGTGGATGCCCCATCCCTGGAGGCATTCAAGGCCAGGCTGGATGTGGCTCTGGGCAGCCTGGTCTGGTGGTTGGCGACCCTGCACATAGCAGGGGGGTTGAAATTAAATGATCATTGTGGTCCTTTTCAACCCAGGCCATTCTATGATTCTATGATTTCTTAATCAGATTTTGTCTGACATCTGTAAATGATTGAGAAGTAGTTGGATACTCTTAGAGCTGGTCTCGTTGCTCATTGTTGCAGGCAAAATTTGAAGCTTAAATAAAACAGGATTGTATGAAAAGTTGATAATTTCTAATATAAATACTTTGCTGTTGTGTTAGTCAATTCTTAGAGCGGTAAGAATGTGATGTCATATAAACTCTTGAACTGTTCCTTATTTCTTGCTGTTTTTTGCTTTCTGTTCCTTGGGCTGGCCAGAAGCACAGACTTCCCTTTCTAAGCATAATTCACTGTTGTAATTTTTTAATGCTCTGTTACATTATTTGTCCTAACCTTGTATTCATTTTTCTTTCGTTTATCTCTAGACAGAGTTGTTTGTGCATGCATTTAAGGATCAGCTGGTCAGAAGTGCCCTTTTAGCACTATATACAGCCCGACCTGGCTGTGTCCTCAAGAAACCAGCTGTGCCTAGAAACAGTGCAGAAGAGGGGGATGACCTAAAGCATCAGGATCATCCATCTCAGGTTAAAAGACAGGACTCTATACCCCATCATTCTGAATATGATGAGGAAGAGTGGGTAAGTAGCTGGAATACTTTTGACTGGTATTGAATCCCAAACCCTAAAAACAAGCATAAACAAATGGAAGCCCTAGTAAGTTTGTCACACTTTGTTAGGGAAGTAATTCAAAAGTATTAAATAATATTTTTCAAATATATTTTGAGTTGCTAGAATTTAAAAATGATATACTTCCCTAAAACTAACTTGAATGAGTTTCCTAACTACAAGTGTTCTTCAGTGCAACAGCTTAGAGGAGCACGTAATAGTGAGGATGATGAATATCTTCTTGTCTAAACAGAAGAATAAGTGTTATTTATTTTTACTTGAGTTCTTTTTCTTGATTAGACAGATTTAAGGAGGTTGAAAAGGCATACACTGATGTCGGGATTTTTTTTGGCCAAGGCTGAACATAAATAGTTTCAACATGCATGAGTTAAGTCTTAGCAAAACAAAGCTGTTTTCCCATCGACTTTGTTCCTAGAAGGTATCTGAGATTGCATAAAACAAATCAAACATGGGTTTTAGATTTTAACATTCTTGGTATGTCTTTCAAAGATGTATATTATTTGTGGCTGAGACTATGTAAATTAAATAATTTGGTAGGTGTGTTCACAAGAGATCTGCTTCTTTGTTATATATACCCCCAACTCCAGTATTTTTATTCGGTTCAGGTTCATACTTTATTCAGTTGATCACTGTATTCTCATAAATATAAAAGATTCAGACATATTAATCTATGTTGTAAATAATTAATTAACTGTGAGCTATAGTACCTACACTGGACTGGTAACTTTTATCCAAACCATAAATAAGAGAAGAATGTGACTTGAAGAGAAAAGACAATTATCTCTGTGCCCATTCATTAGGGAGACATGAGAATTAAACAATAAATAACCAACTCATTCTTTTATTTCTCTGCTGACTTTAAAACCTTGACTTCATTTTTCCTGTTTTTTTTTTTTTTTCTGCAATCTGGCTGCTTGAACTGTCTCTCTTTACTTGAAATTTAAACCAAAATGTTTGATTGCAGCTGCCGAGGCATTCAGTAAAATAAATATCACAGTACATTTGACAAAAGGGAGAATGGAAATTTTTGTGCAAATTGTATTTTAATGTACTAATTCTGCTGTTGTGGAGAGGCTAGCTGATCTATATTTTATTATTGATTTTTTATTGATATTTTTCTGCCAGATATTTGCACCTAATTACTAAATCACAGAAATGCATTAGTTTACAGCATTGGGATTTTTTTCTTGCTGAATTAGTAAAATTACCTGCTTGGTTAAATTTAAGTACATCCCTAGATATTTTCTGAGTTAATAAACTGAGTCTGAGTCAATATCAAACATTATAAATCTTAAATGTTGTCTTTTTTCTAGATTTGAAGATTAGGCGTTAGGCTTCCACTGATATTTATTCCTTTATTAAAATTCAGGTAATTAATAATGTGAGTTTTAATGATCAAGCTGACATTATTGTGTTGGAAATAGTAAGAATAATCACATATAAAATTTGAAAAAAATAATCTAGTCTGAAAGCCAGCTATAAAAGAAGAAAATTATTTGTATGCAGGGTACTATATTCTCCTTTGTTGCTTTTTTCTCCCCATTATTACCTTGAGTTGTTTTTGTAACTCAGATTTCTATTTTGCAGTTGTCCAAAATCTAAATCATGTCCAACAACTCTTTGAACTGACCCCATTCCATCTTCTTTCAAAGACTGTACTATCCCACAAACATCACAAAAATGAATTCAAAGCGCAGTACTGAAACAACTTGTGAAGATCTCCTCCTTCCCTGGCATCCAAATTTATCTGAAGGAACAGTTCCCAGTTTCTTAAGTGTGCACAGTGCCCTTTCATTGTGTGAGTGGTGTTTGCCAGAAAGCCTTCCTCTTCTCCATAGCAGTGCCGTGCTGTACCTCTGCTTTGATATCAAGTACAGATATTGATCCCAGTGTAGCTGACAGCAGCATGGATTGAGCTGTTTATATTGGTGCGCTGTATGTAGGCAGTAGTACAGCAGTGCTGTTGAAGGAAAAATATTTAACTTGAGAGTGTTAGATTGCCTCTGGATAGATACTCTCCTCTTCTCTTGCCAGCTGCTTCTGCTATCCTAGAACCTGGGAGGGAACAGAGCATGTTGTCATGCATTATACAAGAAAAGGTAGGCACGTTGCCCCTTGGAGCTGTTTCTGCTCTACATTTCTGACAGACTACCTAACGTGACTGGAGCTGCAAAGACCATAAAATATCATTTCCAATAAATTATTTACAAATATTGGCATGGTATTCAGATATTGTTCTGAAGTACTGACCCATGTATGATACTTTCCACTCCAAAGCACAGTCATATTACGACAGGATTTTAATCACATTAGTTAAAATACTTTAATATAACATATGAACATGAACCCAAGTTGCATCTCAAAAACACAGAGTCTCCATAGCACTGAGTGATGAAGTTGCTGCGTCAACACTTTGCCCAAGTAAAGCGAGCAACAGTAGTATTGTATGTGAAAGGATACATCACAATGTCAGCATGCCATTGATTTATCCCAGTCTGCTTTGTACTGGCAGTCAAGCCTTGTTGCACATTTTTTCCCTGTCATTAGTTTGACTTCTGAGTTTAAAGAGGCAGAAATGAATGAACCAAAAACCTTATTTCTCTTGGTTCTTGACACCGCGGGAGTAAACACCCAGTTAGCTCTGTGACAACTGGTGGGAAAACTGCTCTCAGGGAAGAAGCATCCTGTTGAAGAATGTATGGTCTCAGCATTTTGATGTATGAAGAAATAACAATTGTGTTCTTCACCTTCCTAACTTCACGCAGAAGCCTTATAAGACAGATGGTGTGTGTTTTGTGTTTTAGTCTGACACGTGCTGCAAAATGGTCATTTGTGACACTTTTTATAGGCAAATGGAAAATAAATTGCTTAAGAATATGCAAGGTGAGTGGAAGGTGTGCTAGGCTATGGGAAAACATGTGAAAGGTGAGGGAGACGAAGGAATGTGAAATTTATGTATTACCCCTCATGTAAAAGAACAAGGAGTCACTTGATTTTCACTGATTGGAGAGAACAATTTTACTCAAGATGCGTTCTTTACAATGAGGCCATCTTTGATGTAGACAGTATAGTATCACAAATGATAGATACATCTCCTTGTGTCTGCATATAGTGATAACTTTGAATCACAAGAACCTTGTATCTAGAGAAAAAAGAGCTCTGGTACAACAAGCTTCTGCTCCATCTCATTTGCTCTCATGTGAAATGGCCAGATGTGTGATAATAAAAATGAGCTTTCTGTCAACAGATGTTTATGAATCTTACTTCTAAGCCCTCAGGGAATGTTTGTGTGAATATTCTATAGACATCATCTTAATGCGAGGTTAAAAGTTGGTTTACATGGAGAAGTGTTCATTCCTAAATGAACTAAAGCACTTATTTGTGTTGCTTGTGCAGTAACTCCAGATGCTTATTAAGAACTTAGCACTGTTTGTGTTAGGATTGAACTGCCCCAGCAGAGAGAGGAAAGGGAAATTATGTTCCTGCAGCTGTACTGAATAACTTGAGTTCATATACCTTAGCAACTTCAGTGATTATAAAGACTGATACTCTCTGCCACTCTCCAGTAAAACTTGCAGCTCTTTTGAGCTTGGATTTTTACTATTTGCAACATTACATTGCTCCTCACCTGTTCTCCCAAAACTAATGTTTGTGGGGGCTGGAAAACAATCATCCATACTGTGAACATTTTTCAGAAATATTTTAGGTACATGTGTGAGGATTAAATTCATGAAGGGATTCTATCTGTCCTCTGTTTTTGGCTTTTAATTGCATCTGTGCCTGTGAATTTCAGATAGTCACATATTTAAGAGTTTCTTTCATGTGTACAAGTACAGATATTTCCACTTGTTGCATTGCACATGCAGTACTTCTGAAAAATGTATTTGTGGATTAAATACATGTCTGTGCAAGAATAACCAGTTTATTGCCACTTGTACATCAGCTCACTCGCCCTTGCAGCAGCCCTACAAATTCCTTCTAATTCTGAGTTTTCCTTTGAATTCTGAGCTGGAGAGCGAGGATCTGTGTTGCCATGTGTTTCCAGCAAGTAGATGCTTCTCTATCTGTACATTTGCGTCCTGTCCCTCAAGGCAGAATGCCCATTTGTCACAGGGTGTGTGTGCCCTCAAGTGGAGGGAATGTAGAAAGGTGAGATCCCTCTGCCGGTGTCAGATACTGGCCTAAGACTTGTGACATGAAATTGAAGTAAATCTCATATTAAATAAGTTTGCCTTAGTAGTAGTTCTTTCTTTGCTCTCACCCAACTTTCAAGTGTTACCACTTACATGGAACTGAGATATTTCTTTGAGTTTTCAGTTGCTTTCCTTGCCCTTCTCTCAAGCTGTTGTTTTGCAGCTCGGTTTTTATGTCTCAAAGCCTGATGTGTACCTTAAACTTTTGGTTATTGTAAAGAAGAAAAGAGTTTTGATTGTGTCTTTCCATTCTTAACCATCAAGCAAGCTGATTGCTCTGTATCAACATCAGAGTGACTTATTAAAGCATGTCCGTGTGTTGTTTCGGATTTGTTGTTTTTTGGTTTTTCTTTTTACTCTTTGACTATTAGTCTTGTTTATAACTTCATTTCTTGCATGGCTTGGTTGTGTTATTTTTTCTTATTCTGCCTTGTTAGTTTGTGTGCGAGAGCTTTGATTTCTGCGCCATCCAGCACATGATGGGACCCTGCCTGTATCTATTCTACAGTAGCTCTTTCTCTCCTTCCACATTCTCTCTCCTTTTTTTTCTGCTTGCACAGATTTTCTTCTGCAACACTATTATTTCTGGATTTCTCATATTTATTGTAAACTCAGTGAACAACTCATGATTGCAGCCTTTGTGAGAGGTGCAAGACAAAACTGAAATTACCTCAGATGATACCTCAAATGTGTCATGACAGCAAGCTGTTAGTTTTTATCTTTTAATTTTACATCTGTACCTCTGTATTAACAGACTGTGTCATGTGGTAAAATAGAGGATATGTTAAATTATTAAAAAGAGGTTGTCAAGTACCATGGTGGAATTATCTAGTTGCGCACAGGATTTGATTTGTCAAGGTCTTACGTGTCTTTACCCTTACCATATAATGTCAAACAGACAATCTGCTCAGTTGCCTGTCATTGAACCTAAAACAGATAACTTTGCGTGCATTTTCATATAGAATTTGAACTATGTTTCTTTCAATACCAAAAAAAAAAAAAGCAACATGATTACAGTTGTCATTCAGTCCATGAAAAAGGCTTAAACTGCCTGCAGAATGAGAAGAATGGTAATATGCTGACACCTAATATTTGTGTAAATTGTCTCCATTTTAATGTTTTGATAAGAAGTTGGTTTTGTCTCTTTATCCTTCTTCAGTAATGTGCAGTGATTATCTTATGCTCTTTTCAGGACAGGGTGTGGGCCAATGTGGGGAAGAGTTTAAACTGTGTTATTGCCATGGTGGACAAACTCCTTGAAAAAGACAGCAGCAATGTTAAAGATGGTGAAATTGACCCCTCAGCAGCAGATTGCAAGCATGCAGGCGGTAAGCAACCTTTGGTGTGATTTTTTTTGTTTTTTCTTTTTTTTTTTTTATAACCATTGACTAGTGTAAATACAAATGGAAAAAGCCACAGAAAAATGAGATAATGGAGTCAGTAGTATCTTCTATCAGATTGCTGATAGAAAAGATTTGCATAGTCATAGCTTTCAATGGTTGCAGTCTGGTTTATCAAATTGCAGCTTTTATTAACAGAAGTTGCTTTTTTCAAGGAAGCTTTCTACGTTCTTCAGACCTTTAGATAAGAATATATAAAAATCTTAACGGTGAAGTAGATCGAATTGTCAACTTGAAACAATCCTTAGAAAATAAATTCATCCACACTGATTTTGTTTGAAAGAACAAAATTCATTTTTCTTGCGCCTAACTCTTCTTTTGGTGTTAATTTATTTTTCTACTATTAGCTGAAACTCAGGATGCCAATTAACTGTTTTGCAGTTAAAGCTGTAGTACACTGACATAAATTTCCCGTTACTTACAGTACATTTGTACTGAGAGTCACATGTGCTGTTTTTTCTGTACTCCAATTGTTAAAAGTACTTTTCACTAAGGAACAAAATTTGAGATTGATATTATTATTTTAAACCAGTCTTGAAAAATTATGACTTAGGATTATTCTTCATTTTTGATTCCTTCTGTTCATACAAGCAAAAACACTTAGCAACATGAATGTTTACTAGTTTTCCCTCACTGTTTTCAACTCCCTGAAAATCTCTGTTTTTCAGTATAAGGCATGAAATGTACTTAACTAGAACCATTTGAGTTTCACTACAGTTATAAAAAACAGTATTCTTAGCTTTAATTCAGGCTTACACCCTACACAGGCAAATTAAATATTCATTGGAATTTTTAGCTCACAAAATAAAAAACGCTTACATTTCCTTTTAAGTATTATAATAATTTATCAAATAGAATGAGGAATATCTCTTGTTAAGCAATAATGACAATTGTAATGGTTAGAAAATTATATTGTTTTGTTCAACTAAGAATTTGTCTTCTGGAGATGATACAGGCTTATGGTACTGGGGTAAATTTCTCTTATAAATGTATCTCACATTTCAGGGTCTTCTCTATGCCTCTTGAATTAGTACCAGTGCCCTTATGTGACAGTGGAGTCTGTGCGTCCATTGAGTTGTGTGGAGTGTTTTGCAACACTTGAATACATGCTCACTGTAGGAGATTTGTGGGGGGACTTTTTCATGCTTGAACTCTTCGTGAAAGCATGATTTTATGTGTTTAGTTACTTTGTGCATCCCATTCAAGTTTGACAGAAAGAAGCACCTACATACAGTGGAGATATTGTGTTTGGGGTTAAAATTAAATTAAACCTTAACTCTTCTCATTTTATATTTGAAGACTAGTTGCAGGATCATAACTTTCTCTTATATATAAAGCAAGAGTGTAATTTTTCTAAAATATTAGAATTTTATACTACACTCACTTCACAAGCAACATAAGAAGTTTGCAATATCATGTGCATATATATTATACTATAATATGTACATATCCAGGTTGAGTAATGCCCGAATGTATGGGCACAGATAGATCTTTGAATCTGAAACTGCTTCAGTGCTGGAACTGATCCTGTGAAAAGTTGTGCAGCTGTTTGTAAGAAAAATGGGGAATACCCAGAACATGATCAAATTTTTGAAAAATGCACCTTAAAGTATGGGATGAAATGTTTCCTTATATTAGCGAACCTGCCTGTTACAATACAGAATTTTGTGTAGCATCTAACAAACAATGAAGAGTCCTAAGAATACATCACGCATTCATTTTAGATGGTAGAAAAAGTTATGAAGGTAATTTGATATGTTTGAGGAATAGCATAGTCCTATAACTGCAAATGTTATCATTAAATGTATTTGAAGCTTGTGAAGATAGGTTTATATTTGCAGTCTCAATATTGACATTGAGTGATCTTAATCTTTTTTTTCCCAACATGGTTGTATTTGTAGTATGGAATCTTTTTAATCAGAAATGCTTGTGGCACCATTTTCTTGTAGCTAGCTTTCAATATGAGTTACATCTTTCTTAGCCTAACTTTTCTTGCAGTCTGACTTTTGAGTTTACTCTTAAGACTGAATTTGAGTTATCACTTACCAAGGTAACATGCTGTGATTTCATCACTTGCAGGATTATGATTTCTCTGCAGGATTAATCAGGAAGAGTAGATGGATTTTAAAAGAGAACTTTTTACCTTTTTTAACTCAAGACTGTTTTTCTTTGGAGAATTGCTTGACAGCATTGAATTCTCTTTATTTTCATCTTATCGTTTTTCATCAGAGTCAGAATGTGAAAGCATGTCCTGGAGAATTAGAGATGCCAGTAAAATGCAATAGTTCGTTCTTAGGTTTATACAGATGTCTATGTTTATCTGTGGTGGTATGAGCTGCTCTTTGTACTCCTCCATCTGAACTATCAAATTCAACTTCTCTTCCACTGGCTCTGTGTGAGTACTTCCTAATCTGCCACATACAGAATTAACCAAGTTATCTCAAAGAATTTAAACTGACATTGGGATTGCACCTGGATTTTGCCTGGAGTGAAATATGAAGTCAAAAACTAAGCTGCTGGGAAGATTAATTGGTCAAGGGTAACTTGCAGTGTAAGGTATGACGAGTACCTGGGCGAATGGTGCCATATTTCATAACTCAAATGAAGGAAAACATCTGTTCATAGCCATGTTGCTACAGACTGTGTATGTTAATTTATTTTTTGAATAATCTGATACCTGATGAGGACTCTGTAAGTCTAGATTAAATCCTTCTGTCTTTCAGTGCCCCAGGGAATTGCATCCATCTAAATGCAATTGCCAACAGAAATGTGAAATAAAATGGCGTGATTTTGTTTGCATCTTCAGAAGAACAGCTTTTACTTAAAGTGATCATTTAATTGGGTAGATAAAAAATTCTCCCTTAATCTTTTCCTTGATGAACAAGTGCTACTTATTTTGAGAAACCAAAGAGAAATACTGAAAAACTTGCTCTTTCATTACTTTTCCTCCAGTTTTTCTTTCTTGTTTTCTGTAAGTCTTTGCATCAGCTCTTTTTCCAAAATGTGATGTACTACTACTATTTTTCCACTTCCATTTCCCACTAATCTCTCAGTCTTCCTCCTTTTTTTCGTAGGTTCATTAGTTGAGCTGTATGTAGTCCAGAATATAAGACAACCACTACAGCAATATTTGCTATCGCTAATTAAGCTGTTGACAGAAGCTCAAAAAAAACAAGGGAAAGACAGACTGATTCAACAAACTGTTTTCTTAAACAAGATGTCAGAATATTTGTTGTGTAATACTTCTAGAGAAATGTTTTTACATTATTTCTATATCTTCAGTCTTTTACATTAGTTTTAACTTTGTTGTTGCTATCACTTTCTTTTCCTTTTTTCGATGAGAGCAAAATTTCGGAGACACAAATATATATATTTATGGTTAGTGGGTTTCAACTTTTTTTCTTAATCCTTCTCACGGTACAGAAAATCTCAAATGATTAGAATGGAGTGATAAATCTCCAAGATCTTAAAACTGTTTCCTTCAGCACCAGAACTACGTGATCAGCTGTTGTTACATTGGCCGCAGAAATACCTGGAAGACCTAGTTTTGTGATGTTCTATTGAGAAGTGGGGAATATTGCAGAGTTACAAGAATAAAACCTCATCCCTTTTCAAAGAGCTGAGTTCTGATCCTTGAATTAAATAACTGCAAGAGCTTAAGAGGTAAACAAAGAAATAGTGAGCAAGGTCCAGTCCTGAAAGTGTAAATTCAGATCATTGGGCTTAATTACTGTATTCTGAAGTAATTTGCACCAGCTGTTTCTGAGGAGATTGTTTCAGTTTTGGGTTGGTTGATTTGTTTTGCTGGCCTTTTGTTTTTTTTAGCCATTAGGTTTAGACTAGCACGTTCAAATTGTGATGTCAATAAATTTACATTATATAACCTGTTATTTCAATCCCATTGTGGGCTTTATGTATATTTGTATATATATTTATTAAGGGAATGATTAGCTACAGTAAATGTTTAAGTCTTCAGTAGCTGCCATTAACTTTATAACCAAAAGTTTCTAGGGTTCTCTGTTCCTTTAAAAGCCAGCTGTTGTGCATTCTTCTGCTTTAATTCCATTTTTAGTTTGTAACTTCATACCATTTAAATTCTGAGGTGAATTAAAGCCATCAAAGATATCCACTGATTTTTAGGTGACGTGGATGCGAATGATAGAATTGGCTTTTTTCCTCCGTTGCCAGGGTAAAACAAGATAGAAGTGCTATTGCACAGCCTTAGGCTCTTCCTATTTGATCATCAGCACATTTCAATGAACAGTTCAGCGGGCTTGATTTTGAAAAGAGCAGGAGCTCGCTTTTCTGCCAAACTTTATCAAATTTCACGTGCGGCTTGAATGTTAACATGTAGAATGACAAGCTGAGAGCTGAGCAGGCCATTTGCCTGTGCAGGCAAGTTGAGAGAATGAGACTCAAGAATCCCGTCCTAAACTGAACTTCTACAACTCTTTGTTAGCAATGAAGGTGGAGAACTACACTTGTACTGTCTTACTCTTGTTTTAATCTTATGTTAACTGTAGAGTGATTGTTTTCTTCTAGTTTCATCCTTCTGTGTCTGGCTTTTACACCTTGTTTTAGTTTCCTATCCAAAGGCTGACTAGCATGATTTTTGTGATTTTTGATTTTTGAATTGTGATTTTTGAATTGAGTTTCCTTGCCTCATCACTAGGCTTTGACACCTTTATTTGGATGCTAAATATTTCAAACAGGACAGGCTGCCCTTGTCGTGTTAGCAACATGACAGTCATCCTCTAGTCTACTTGTAGTTTATCTTCTTGATCCTAATGTCCTTTCTGAAATATTCATTCATTCAGTTAATCCTTCAGTCTTTTTGAAAAACTTCTTGTCCACTTTATTGAGGATGTATATCTTACAAATTCAATTTTAGATAAATTTGATATCTGAAACTCAGTGTTTTGTGTGCTTGCATGGGGTTAGGAACACGAACAGTAATTTTTACAGTTCCTTTCCTTATATGATTCTGCAAGGCTATTGTCAGTCTCTGCAGGATCAGAGGTCCTGAGCTATGGTTATCCTCCTGGCATCTCCTTTCAGCAACAGCTGATGCTGAGCTGACTGCAGGTTTTCTCATGAAGAGTGAGTTGCTGGGGCATCTTGAATTCATCTCCCAAACTCTTTTAGGTATGGAAATGTTGTCTTGTAACCAAGCAGTACCTTCAGACATGAGTTGTGTTGTGCAAAGGTAAATCAGGACAATCTAAACATGAATGTAGATCAGTACATTTTTACATGTACTTTCACAAATTTTATTAGTATTCCATGCTATTCTTTACATATAAGTACTACATTTTCCAAAGTCTATTAAATTTGTATAGGCCTCAAAATACAGTGCTTTTTTTTAATGAATGTGCTTCTCAATTTCAAGGAGCAACTTCAAAATGGAAGTATTTTCTGTGTTTCTCATACACAGACTTGTGCACTGTTAATGAACAACCTTGTTTTATATCCTCAGTGGAATATTTGCAACTGGATGTCCAGTATAAGAACAGACATATGGAGATTTTAACACAGACCAATGATTGAGCATTTATGAATATGTTTCTCTACAATTGTTCCTTCAAATAACTTGTTTTATGATGCACTTTTTTTTTTAATCTTAGAACACTAATCTTACTTTAAAATATAAGGACAAACCTAAAAATATACCTCTCTATTTGTAAATATTCTGTTCTCAAGTAGCTGTGCAATCCCTTTTTTGATTTGCAAACTAGCTCCACCTTCTGGGGGTTGGACATCTTTACTAAAGGAATTTTCACTATAGGCTAGTAGCTAAGTGATTGTGTTAGGTCATTTTAGTACATGAGGGTATTGTATTTTCTTCTTTCTAGTTGTCAAGTACAAATTTATTTTATACTCTAAAAAAAAAAAAAATAATTTCTGACTTATTTTAGCCATTCAGGTAAGGCTTCCTACAAACTTTGGATTTTTATTGCTTTCTACAAAGCAAAGTGCATATGAAAGTAAAGCTTTCTGTAGAGTAATATTATGTCACTGTTTTCTTTGGAACATTAATATTTGGTAGGATCTATTTTTAATATAGTTACCTTGACTGTCATTCAATGAAGAAAATGGCCTTGAGTACTCCAAATCTTAGAATTTCTTCTTAGTGCAAGAGGAACTGACAAATTCTGACATTACTTGCGCTAGTAATATGGCAAAATATTTTTAACTTTCATCTTTACAAGAATTACTTTCCTAACAGTGTTACAGAAATTCTGAGGAAATGTTTGTGAAGCTACCTAGCACGAGGATCATGACAAATAATTCAGAAAATCACAAGAATGGTACAGTTATCAGTTGTTCACTGGCCTCCTGGAAGGCTGTATGAAGTAGAATCCACTTAGATTTGTTCTCAGTCCCGTATTATTCAACATATTCATTACTGACTTGGCTTATGAAATATAGATGTTTCTCATAAAATTTGCAGACGATTAAAGCTGGGAGATGCTTTAAGCACCATGGGAGTAGAACTAGAATGGATGTTGGCGAAATGGAGCACTGAAATACTAGAATGCAGTTCACTGAGGACAAGTACAAAGTTATGTTCCCAAAGAAGCAGAAATGCACTGTGTGGAGTGTCAGATTAAGGGGCAACTTGGTAGAATAAGATGTCAGTGTTACTTGACTTTTATGATTGATATGTGACCCACTCTTCTGTGAAGAAGTGTTGGTGAATCTCCTTAGTCCTCTCCCCATAACCGAAGTTGTAAAAGTGTGCATATAAAATGTGTCTCGGTCTACAAATTCATCTTTTTCTCTCTTGCCCTGGATGTCAGTGTACTTGGCTTTATCTGTCCAACTTTGCTTTGGGGCAGATTGGCTCTACCTTCAGGTCTACTTTTCTATCCTAAAGAAGGTGGTCATGCTTTTGCAGCTTAGGTTGTGCTGCTCTTTGTAAGAAAAATGGGGAATATCCAGAGATTTCATCAAATTATTTGCTCAAGTGAGAAGCAGACTAGAAATTTTATTTTTATCCGTTATGCCCTGTGCACAGATTTAGTGCACATTGTGTTTTAATCTCATCCTGCTTTTCATGTCATTTATTATTAATTTGATAAATCAGTATAATTTAAGAATAGTAAGAAGAATTTAGGTGGCCTGGTCAACCTAGCCTGACTTCCAGTTTTCTGCTGTGTTTTTTGAATTTGAATGTGTCTCACAGCAGCCTCCAGCCTTTGATCCTTTTGCTTTTAATCCCTAGAATACAGATCTCCTTTACCACTCTTCATTTTTTCTTCATAAAGAAAAGAAATCAAATTACTGCTTTTTATAGGCTTATGAAGATTAAACCCTAAATCTTCGTAGCGCTCTTCTGCAAGCTCTTGTAGTCTTTAAAATGTGTAAACCAGATGCTGGCATGTTATCAATATTTTTGTATAAAATCAGCTCCTTGTTGCAGGATGGAACTGGAGATGCTTATGTTCTGTATGGTTCATAATGGCTATAACTTGATAGCTGCTCTTTTCCAGGGAACAGCTCTTCAGTCTTTATTTTTTCCACTGAGATATGTATGCCTCTGTTAAAACACAGTTTGTCTCATCACATAGGCGCTGTTCGCAAAGCAATCCAAGTTATTCTCTCTGACCACTCTGTCTTAATTCCTCCTCATTCCTTCCTGCAGCTTCATTTTTTGTGGTTCCTCCTAGCTATCAAAGTTCTTTCTGTTGTCTTGGCTACAGTTTTATTCATTTCCATATTTTTCCGTATCATGGCCAAATTAACTTTGCAGCAGGCAGCTATGTGGTCTTGTTTAAAGAACTTCTTAGTACTAATGAGCCTCTCGCTGACCCGATTCAGATTCTCTTACCAGAAAAAATGTGCAGTTATCTTCCACGTAATTACAGTTTAAATTGAACAAATTTTGATTATCATTGATTCTTAATTACACTAATCTACAGGTTAAATGATGTAGTGATGAACAGTATTAGGTCAGTTACACTCCCTGTTTTTATATAGATTTTTCTCGAGCATAGGCTTCTTTCTTTTGAAACTACAACAGTGAAAGCAAGAGAGACACATTCTGAAAGATAACATTTTTTTCTTTATTTTTTGCTCATTGTAGAGGGGTGGGCAAAACCACAGATGACTACAGTGCAGGTCTGCTTTTATTAAACCTTGACAAATTCAGGAACAGCTTGAGTAATTGGGCAAGTTTGAGTAAGCTATTCTAGTTTTCCTCCATCCCTCATTATCACTTTCTATCATTTCTAATATGTTCAGAAGTCCCATTTTTTTCATATGTTTCAATAGCCTATTTTTTTCCTGATATTCCTAACATACATTTTAACTGAGCAAAACATATTGTAGAATGGTTTGAAATCTCTCTGCTCAGAGTGACTAAAAAAAAAATAATGAGTTCAATATCTCTATTTAAAGAGAACACAGACAGAAACTAAAAAAGAAAAATGAATGTGACTTGAAGGTTACTATCTTTCCAGCCTATACATTAAATAGGTAATATCCTTCCCAGGTAACTATTTGTTCTTCTGTTTTGCCTCCCAGCACCCACTCTTTCTTCAATATATGCTCTTTCTGAGTTTGTTTTTTTTCTTTTTTGACTGGATTTCATTTACTTAGATCTGAGTTGTTGATGCTAGATAGAAGATGAGATTCTCCATCATATTCATGTCACGCTAAATGAGTTTTCACTCTTACCCCAAAATGCTCTGTGTACAACACTTCAATGCAGGCTTTACAGAGAAATTCAGTCTGTTAGAAAAAATATTCCTTGTCTCAGTGGTAAGCTAGAGTCGTTTCTCTCATTTTTGCAGAGCCACAATGGTTAGAATAGAGCTGTAGTGTCACCAAAAGTCTAAGACGTTCTACTGCAGCCCACTCTCCAATCTGAAAACACGTTTTTTTCTACAACTTTCCTGTTATGGAACTAATGATCTTTCTTGTTCTAGGTGACTGGTATGAGCAGCTTTATCCCCTGGTGATTACGTTGAAGGATTGCATGGGAGAGGTGGTCACTAGGGCAAAGCAGTCCATGGCGTTTGTTCTGCTCCAGGAGCTTGCCTGTGGTTTGCCACAATGTTTGATGCTGACCCTAAGGAGAGACATTGTCTTTAGTCAAGCAGTAGGTTGTCTTATGTCACTTATTCTCTACTGTGTTGACTATTTTGATGTTATTAGTGTTGCTGTAATCGAACATACTATGCTGCATTTGTGTTGATTTGTTGGTTTTTTTTTCCTCCCAGTTTAACACAACTTTTTCATGTATTTTCCATTACATCCACCTAAATATTTTATAATGTGTGAGAAAAATCAGTAGTAAATAGAAATCCGTAGTAACTGAATCACTGAGTCACAAAAATAGGTCTGCAGTAAACTGAAATGTCTTACATAATCTATCCCCTTTGCACAAAGAAGGATCCATAAAGCTATTGACGCAATCTTCCCAGATTATCTATGCCAGTATCCTTACCTGTAAGGATCTTAAGTCTAACCTGAGTGTTCCTTGCTGCTATTCAAGCTAGAAATTTTTCTCTTGGTCACCTTGGAAATGAATTATAGATCATTTGTTTTCAGTTTGAATCAGTATTTTATGTGTCTGAAGACTGTCAACACGTCTCTCCTCAGACTAGTCTTCTCATGGTAAATAGATGAAGTTCTTTTGATCCTGTAGATGGTGCCTTCCAGATAGCTTGCCTCTAAATGACTTGTCTAATTTCTCCCTCAAGATGATGTATTTTTCCAAACATAGTTAAGGAGTTAGAGTGTGATAAGCAAGGAGATGTTTGCATTAGGTGCCAACCTGCACCAAAATCTATTATAATTCACATCCTTATGTATTTATATTCTATTAAGGAAGGTTCTGGTCTCATTTATGCCAGTGTAAATAATGCAACTTAAAAAAAAAAAAAAAAAAAAAAAGTTTCTGCAATATTAAGTAAGAGAATATTTTACTTATTTTTATACCACGAAGTGGCTCACCAATAAACTAATATGAGATAATGTATATAGTCACTAAGTAGAAATACCTAAGCTATTTTCTGAAGTATCTAAATATTACTGATGTGATGTTGCATTTTTTATTGTCTTTATAGCTTGCTGGATTGGTCTGTGGGTTTATAATCAAGCTGCACACAGGTTTACATGATCAAGGATTTTTACAACAGCTTCATACTGTTGGATTACTTGTTCAATATGAAGGACTCCTAAGCACATATAGTAAGTAGATAAAATTCCTTATGCATGCAGACCAGATGTTTACCCAGGAGTTTCTGATTTTAACCTTGGTTCTGTTTCCAGAAATTTGGTTTATTTAATCAAGAAATATTACCTTGAAGAGAACGTAGGCTTTCATATCATGGCACAGTTGAAGTTATTGATACATTGTTTTCAATGCAATATATCATAAATTACTTAATTTACTTTCACTCTCTCAGGGAGCAGTAGCTGATGCAGAGTGCTGAACTGCAGTGCTTTAAATACAGGAGGTTAGCTTCATCAGTACAGCTAGGGGATCTCTTGATTTTGATAAATACTGTTTGCAGAGGCATTTGACCTAACCCAAATTAGGTTTATAAAGCTAACCCAAACAGAACATATTATAGTTATTGACTATCTTCTCTGCCCTGTGTCATTACTGGTGATGTGAAGATACCTTGAAAATTATTTAATGCCTACATTGTTATAGGTTCCATCATTTTATATATATTTAAAAGATATTTGGAGAGAGAAATTGCAGCTTGTTTCAAAATGGTTTGAACTAGATGTATTGGAATACTTCCCCAGAATAGAGATTTTTGATTAAGTAGAAGGATTTAGCATTTATGCAGGTCTTTGCTGCATAGGCAATTGCATCTCCACACTTGGAGACTGCTATCAGACTCCTTTTACACAATATTCACTGTTATTCTTAAAAACCTTTGTCGTCCATCAGCAGGACAGTCTTTAAAAACGCTTTCAGAACAGACAAAAAAAGGCTTTTCTGAAGTTATTCCATGCACATATAGAACAGGTTGATTTTTCAGAGATGCTTAATAGTCGTTATCATCTAGGCCACAGAGAATTGTCAGCAGTTCTTAAAATCAGCCTGCTTTTATGTAGGTTATTTTAATGTGGATTTGGGGCTGTGACTTTTAGATGCACTGACTGGAAAGTATAATCCCTGCATTGCCTTACTGTAACCTATTCAGTGACTGATCTGTCTTCTCTGTTAAATAACTTCTGTAATCTTTCCATATAGGTGAAGAAGCAGGGATGCTCGAAGACATGGCTGTGGGAATTTCAGATTTGCAAAAAGTAATGTTTAAAGTCATTGAAGCTAAATCAGAAGACTTTTTGCCTATTATAACTGGAAGGCGGTAAGATATATTTTTTTTTTCCTGGAGCACATGGCAGGTACTTTTAAATGGTAGCACATGAAAACACACACAATGATTTGTTTGTTGCTGAGTTCTATTATATGGCAAGTACAATAGCTTCATTTTTCATGAGGCAAATGAGATGTAATGAGGTAGTATGAGGGATTCTTAAAGCTATCAGTAATATGGGCTCTGTGTTGCTTTCTTGATGAGGACCTAAAAGTTCCAAATATTAATACAAATTAATTGTAACAGTGTCTGAATTGTGTGTAAGAAATTGTTGTGTTTTTCATATCCAGGCACCGAAAAAAAATAGTGACAAGGTCAGTATTGACAGAAGTGGTCTCTGACTAAATATACCTTATTTGGAGGTGACCAGAACTAAAATTTTTCAGTGTGACAAATGAAATCACATTTCGAAGAGCTAGACCTTGGTTGTCTTAAGATGAAAACAGAAAAACTCAGATGCCAAAAACTAGCACAAAAATGGACAGTTTTGAAGAATGAAGCCTATCATATTTGCTGAAGATCATTCAGAACACATGCAGCATCGGAAGTCCTTGTGGGAAGTCCTTAATGCATTATGCATCATGCGTCTCACATGAGCAGTACTGAATATTGGCACATAAACTGAAATACTTGATTAATTTTGGCTTGAAAAGGGTTAAAAAGATGGTTACACTTGAGGAATGGGATTTTAATCTTCAGTATTATTCTAGGCTGAAGCTCCAAATGCTTTTACCTTTGCAGAAATCACTTCCTTGATAGTGTTGTTATTCTAAAGCCAACAGTAAATTGAATTCAGTTCAAAGCAGCAACTTTTAGAAACAATGTTTCTTCTGAAGGAGGCTCTCACAACTGCTTTACTTAATTATTCTGGATGATTAATTCTCATCCTATGGGCCTATCCATAAGGGATCAAAATAAATAGTAGGAAGGCCAGAGTATGATAGGCAACACATCGGGAATAATTGAGAATAATTATGATGTACAGATAAGGCAGAAGAAATCCATCCTTTCTTAATCACACGTGTCAAACTTCTTCAAAAACCTAGCTGCTATGTTTACTAGCTTGCTGCCCTTGCTGCAGTACATTGAATTGTCACATCAGGAGTTCCTGGTTTTGCAACTTCAGTCAAGCCTGAAGTTGCCCCAAGCATTCTGGATTGAGAAAGTACTCATTCTTGTAGAAGAGTTACTCCCTATGGTTCTTGTACTATACTTACTGGCAAGAGTTAACTCACTGGAATTGATATCAGAATGGAAAAAAAAAAGCCATCTAAGGCTTGTATGGAGCCCTGTTTCTCTTAGAGCTGTAATGAGACAGCTCGTATCAAACAGCATTTGGAAGTTGATCATAAAAAGAGAAGATGGTGGAAAAACTGAGTATGTGCTAATGAATGTTTAGAGAATCAACAATTTTTAGTTTGCTTTGGTGGTTTTTTTTAGAGATGAATTTTGTATGATGTAGCTTAATAAAATAAGGCAACATTTTGCATTTCTACAGTTAATACTGCATACCATATTAACTGTAGAAATGCAAGACAGAACATGAAACTATAGGTGCTTAATTTGCAGAATCAGAGTGTTCGCTTATATTTGGTTTTTGAGGGAATACTGAAGACTGAGATTCTATGTATAAAACCAAAGCAATCCAAAGAGCATGGCATTGAGTAGCGTTCACCTGCCAGCATGGATGGCTGACTCCAGCCACCCAGGTGGAATAAAATTCAGGCGCTTGCATGCTTTTTTATGGACAAAACTAGTTAGCACTTTTATAAAACCCTTTGTTAGAACGTATTTGATTGTGTGCATGAACTTTGAGGCGTTGCAGGGTTTGATAAAAGTGCTTTCAGCGAAGCACGTGAGCAGGCTGGCACTTGCAGCCACACTGAAGTGATCTAAACAGTTGTCGCTTGGCTGGTTAAAGCGCCTCCCTGCAGAGATACAGAGGCTGTTTGCATTTATTTTTTCTGTTGCAAAGCAAAGGTGCATGCAAATGACTTGTTCTGTGCTTATGGCAATGAGCTGTGTGTGCTTTTGCAGCTGACTGCAGGTAACTCCAGTCCGTGGCCCTCACCTGCATGGGGTTAATTGTGAGAAGCTTTTTATCAAGACTGAAAGTATACATCTATCCTTTGTCATAATAAAAAATGTAAGAGAATAAGGCTAATAGAGGGGGTGCTCTTAAGAAGTTATGTTTAAGTGAAGAAAATATAGAATACCTAAATTTCGAGAATTAGTTTACAAATAAATGATAATGTACTGTTTACACTTTTGAACATTAAACAAGGATTTTTCTATTCCTTGTTTTGTTTCTTTTTCTCCCTGAGAGATCATTAAGTGTTAAAAAACCATTTACTGATTTTTTTTTTTGGTTTGTTTTTTGGTATCTCACCTTCATATTGGAAAACAAGATGGATAACAAGGCCACTACATGTCATAACTGCCTAGTACACTTGCAATGAAATTAGCTATAAAGAAAGAAACTAAGTGACACTAAAATATGTTGCTTTAGAGCTCCTTCTTATATAAGTAGAATGATAGTACTTGTAAAATTTTGGTAAATTGAATGTCAAGTTCTCCAGTTTTCAGTAGTTTGGTTTTATTTCTTCTTTCTACCTGACTTCAGAGCCATTTCTGGAGTCACTCTCATAGTTGAATAGCCTTTTTCTTAAATGATGGAAAGAGGATTGTTCTAATTATGAAAGTGGTTAAAGATCTTTTAATTTTACCAGGGGTCATCTCTAAGATTTGTATAAATGTATAATTTATTTATTTAATTTAAGGTAAGAGGAGGCTCTTAAATGGTACCAGTGTTAATTTATCATGCCTAAAGGTCAACATTGAAGAATGTTATTTCATACACTGAAAGGTCTATAGTGATTTTGAGGATGTAAAATGCAGCAATACAGTGGTTTGATGATGTTTTTGGTTCAGTAACATACATTCTTTAAATTAAACTAAACCAACATTTCTTTTCAACCTCCTGAAAGCACTACATCACAAGAAGGAGTAACTTCACAGCAGCTAGGAATGCTAGTTTGCAGGCTGAGGATGAATGCTGCTGTACAAAGATAAACATCCTTTTACTGGCATCTTTGCTAACTGTATTTCTTTCATATGGATGAATTACTTAAACAGAAACCCTCTGAGTCATGTGTCCTCCATTCATGGCTACTGACAATCTCCTCAATATGGAGCATCTCTCTTTTGCTCAAAGATTGTGCAGTAGATCTAGACCATACCAAAGCATGTGCTGTTGCCCTTGCCACATGTAATTATGTTTTGATAATAAGTCTGTTTTGGACCTGCTTTATGATGTTCTCAGATATGTGGGCAGGGCACCCGCTCTCAGATTGTGACACTCTTTTATCCAGCTTGTTATTTTTCTTGAAAGTTTTCTGCCTTCCCCTTCTCCCTCCAAGTTCTACATTTGGGAACTCACATTTCTATTTGACTTTTTTAGCAAACACGTGGTTGATTGATTGAGAGACTTCAAGATAAATTATTTTAGTAGAAGCAAACAGTGTTCTTCAGGGAAAAAAAAAAACACTAAAGCAAGTCAAAAGAACAAAATCCATCCTTTTCCAACTTAAGTTTGCATGCATGCATCATGTGAGATCCTAGACCTGGTTTCTTCAGGTAGGATATAGATCCTCCTTCACTGCTGCTGTAATATTTTTATTTCTTGATGCCGTACTTCAGAGAGCTCTATAGGAAAGCTCTTTGGTATCAGTTGGCCCTCTCTGAATGATTAAAACTGCCAAGTCCTGAAAATAATGGATCTGCCTCTAATGTATTCCTTTTTTATTAATCTAATTGCTCTAATTATAGAAAGAAAGCTAATAAAAACAAGCTATCTGCATATTATTGTTTCTGTTGTGTCAAATCAGGCATCAGTCCTCAAAAACAGGTGAAATTCAGCTTGAGGGTTGCACAGTGAAGGACATAAGAAACTGAACTAGCAATCAAAATAACATTTTTAATAAAGTCCAACCAAACACAATATAAAACCAAAAATGTTGTATCACATCCTTCTCCTAAAACAGGATTCATGTTTCAGAAATCAATCTTCAAATATTATCTGAACAGAGTCCATTTGTTGTTCATTATGCTTTCTAACCTGAGGGTGAAAATTCGGACTCCAAAGAAAATGGGAATTTTGCATTTGGGTTTTTATGAGGGTTTTTTTCTGTATTGAGACCATTATGAATGAGCAGGAGGGATTCGAGTTCTGGCTTCTGGAAGGAAGTTTTTTGTTATTCAACAAGATGAATTTTAAGAGTTGGGGTGTTCTCACCGATATTTTCTTTTCTGCCAATTTCACTTTTAATCCTGTTTTCACTTCAGTAAAGAAGTCATATCAAGTGCATGTAACTATATATACTTGCCTATTTCCAAATAAGCTTGTAGTACTCCTAAAACAAGCAAACTGATCTTTAACATTGTGTTTTAACACAGATAAGAGGAAAAGAGGGAACTGGTCTGTATGTTTAAAAGCTCACTATGACTTAGGAAAATGATAATTTCAAGCAAACTAAGCAATATTCCTATTCTTATGCTTCCTTTTATTTTTCCTAGTGAACATTATGTCATAGAGGTCCAGCTTCCGGCAAAGATGTTTGAGTTGCTACCACAGGAGATTAAAGAAGGAAAGCTACTTCGCATGTATCCAGTACTCTTTAATGTTGGAATCAATGAGCAGCAAACACTTGCAGAGAGGTAAGAAGACGCCAAAATATTTTTCTTATTTTCTGAGTACTCTGTGTGAGACATCTCTCACAGGATTACAAAGAAATCATTTTTTGTTATTTGCTCTTGGACCATCTCACCTTGACTTTGTATGTGTTTTAAAAAGTATTAAAGAAATAAGTACTAGCAATGAAAAAACCTGCACAATAATATGCAAGGCCAAGTGAAGAGATGGCCATATACAGGACTTCATTGTGCATTTGTTTCAAGCAGCCAGCACTGGGTTTTCCTTGGATGTAGGTATTTCTGTGGTGTATTTCTAGATTATACGTGTAGAAGTTTGTGTATAGTGCTTTGGCACTTTAGTCAACTGAAGTTCAAAAATTCCAAGTTCTTAGTATCTTACAGATGGACTTGAAAGTACTAGAAAAATCATAAACCGTATAGAGAACCTTTTTCTCAACTTCTTGGGTTTGATTATTTTTTAACAGAATTAAGAAGTTTTAATTACAAATGTAGAGTATGCTAATGATATGTTCGTAGAAACGTGAAGGCTGGTGGTAAAATAATAATGTGTTAATGTTAGTCCTCTGAAGTGATTGCTAGAAAGTAATTTTTCAGTACAATCTTGGTCAAAGTTTTCTTATATATTTCTCTCCCAAGAGACAGTTACCTATTGGTCATGTTAAATTACTAAGTTGATACAATGCTAAAATTGTAAGCTGAACATCTACAAGAAGATAAGTACTTTTTTCCTTTTACTCAATTCATTTACAGAGCACGTGGGGGATGAAATAAGTTCCTTCAGGCAGTGTTCAGTATAAACTCAAATCAAAAGCTATCTAAGTGTAGGTGAGCAAATACACGGGCCTAGTGAAAAACTATTATCTTGGACAATAGGCAAAAAACAGCAGTACATGAGTTTGATGTCATATTCTTTGTATTCAGCAGAGTAAAAGGGCACTTATGGAAGTCTTCTAAGGAATGCAGTCACGTAGCGTTGTGGATATTTGTAGAGGACTTCTCTGAATTGTGATCAGTGATATGCTGGAAAGTCAGGTGTAAAATTTGAATGGGAGATGAAGGCTGAAACAGAAAATGGAGGTATAAGTTAAAGTTTTACTAGAGAAAATGATGTAAAGTTCATTAGAGAAGTTGAAACACCCTTGAAAATTGAAGCTTTTAGTAGAAAAGTGATTTTATGGATTAAGTAACATAGCTAGAGTGATGACGTACAAAAAGCAAAATCAATTGTGATAAATGTGAGTGGATTCTTCACATTTTTCCAAAGGAGAGAAAAGGAGTATGAGGTAACCAAGGTGCAAGTCTGTGAGAGTTTGAGGGTGGGACAGGCAGGGGAGGGACTTTGTTACAAATGTCCTGAAGAAAAAGTTGACAAGATTTAGAAATAGCCTAAACATGCAGAGTTGTCAAGGAGTAAGTCAAAAAAAGATGTCAACTGGCTTGGATGTGAAGTAACAGGAAGTGTGGTAACAGTATTTAGAGGGAGGCAAGGGGGAATGGCTTTAAGGTTTTAACTAAAGGAGGGGAGATTTAGATCTGATATCAGGGGGAAGTTTTTCTCTTAGTTGCCCAGAGAGGTTGTGGATGCCCTGTTCCTGGAGATGGTTAAGGCCAGACTGGATGGGGCCCTGGGCAATTTGGTACTTGATGTAGCAGCTGGCACCCTGCCTATGGCAGGGAGGGTTGGAACGTGACGGTCCTTGAGGTCCCTTGCAACTTAAGCCATTCTATATTCCTCTTGACACTTGCCTCCCTTCATTGTGTGTGGCTTCAATGTCAACCATGACAAATATCAACCAGCTCTAAGCAGCAGCAGTAAGAGATTTAGTAGTTGTACTCTGCCCAAGTGCCATTTGAAATTGCCACAGAGAGCCCTTGCATTTGTTCAGGATTTGTGAAGGAAATGGGAACTTGTGCTTTATTGAATCGTTGTCTGTAAATTAATTATTCTGTCCATATGGCTTGGAAGAATTTTCTGTGGATGGTTACCTCATTCCTGAATATTATTACTTGGAAGATGAATAACTATATGTTTGACCAAATTTAATACATTCAACACTAGAAAAATAAATTCGAATTCTTCATACAATTTAAACATTCTGAAGAATTACTTGGCTATGTGTTTTAGGTTTTTCATCATTTTACTATGATTTTATAGGTTTGGAGATACCACTTTGCAAGAAAACATTAACCAAGAAAACTTAGAACTTCTAAAAGAATATTACAACCTGTTTACGGAAAAAATGCCTCCTGATTGTGAGTACAACATAATACAATATCGAAAAAGCTTTTAAAAGGTTTTATAGATGAAAATTTATAAGGAAGTAATTTTAACGCAATATTAATATGCAGATTTTAGATTTAGGCCTCAGTCCTATAATTTATTCCATAAAATTAAGCACTTGGAGCCTGTTTGAGCCCAAGGCCTTAGCAGAAATGGCAGGGAGAATGAAATGCAGTAATGGTGAATCAGACAGCTCCTTTAAATTATTAATATGATATACTCTTTAATAATTTAAATAGAGGACAGGCCGTACTTACTATATTTATACAGATGTGCTCCCTGGGAATTTTCATCAGTTTTACTTATTCCCTCCACTTTTCTTTCTGAGTATGTGCATAGGTTGCTCCGAAAGTAATGCCTCCTGTTTCTATGGAAATGACAACAGTTACAAAGAGTGCAATCGCACTATTTGATAGAGCAAATTCTCAGCTACAGAATGCTATTTTCCAACATAGTTGCCACCATTAGCTATGAATTTTCACCGGCAGTGAACAAGAGCCTGCATGCTGCACTTGTAAAAACCTGCTCCAGCAGAGATGACCCACTGATATGTGGCTGCTGCTGAAACGCACCGCCCTCTGCTTCACTGTGCTCATATCTCCTGTTAGGTCCTCATAAATACTGATGTGTTGATGAATGTCAGTGGGTGCCATTTCTTCCACATGGAGGAAGGACACACCTTTGCTTCATACTCACTTTCATGTCAGATGCCATTTTGTCAGAGCGCCCCTCAGCACAGCAGCAACATGGAACAGAATATTGGTGGGAAGGTTCAACCTCTACTACCATACCACCACCATCTGCCTCTGATGTTGTGGGCCAGCATAATAAAATAGGAGGCATTACTTCTGGAGCAGCCCTCATATTAAGGTATGGCAAACAATACTCAGAAATGTATAGATATAAGAAGTGAATTACTTTACAATGACGTTGATATTAATAGCATGATTCTATTAGAATAGGCCCTGTATTCAAATATTATGTATATGTGGTATTATAAGCATACTGTTCTGTTTCTTTCCTGAAAGCAAACACCTTAAGGACCTTCTGCATCAATATAATCCTCTTAAAGCAGTCTTAATGGCTAAATTATATTCCCCTAAGTTGCAAATTGTACAGCCTCATTTAAAATAGCTTGTTTTAGGTCTCTGCCCCTTATTCTTTGGTAATTATCTGTGAATCTAAAGTGCTGTTGTGCTAGGGGCATTTGAAATTCCTTGTGGGGAGTAATATGCAAAGCGTGTGCTCTCTTACAGGTATTGGTTATGTTTGCTGATTTCCATTATGCGTATATACTCACAGTTTTTACCAAATGTGGTTCTATGTATGTGTACGTGCTTATATTTCATCTCAGAGAAATTCAATTTGTTAATAATTTTGACAGAAGTGAAAGCCGTGTTTCTAAGGTGTATGCAGTATGACAAATGATCCACTCACATCTCTGATATTTCTCAGTTTTCTACCAACAAGTCTTATGTACTAAGTTAGAGATTTATTTGGGGGAATCTTCCCAAGAAAGGTTCTGAAAAACTAACCTCATCTGGAATTAGGTCTAAAGTATATCTGCTGCTTTATAAATGAATCTGGTTACGTGAAAGCAGAAGTTTACATGCAGGTGGTATTTGCTTCTTTTCATTGACAAGAACTAACCTTATACTGCCTTCCTCTAGAACGGTTATTAGTGTGCTGCACAGTCTTCATGGACTTCTTTTGGACTGTGCAGACTTGTAAGAACTATCCTTGTCTAGCTCATCCTGTCTTTTCTGGTTATTATTGCCTCCTGCATTTTCTCTGCCTCTGAGAGCTGAGTCTGGCTGTTGTCCCAGTTTTTACATAACACGAAGTACCTTCTGGTTGCTCTGTACAATTACATGGTATTGATACAGTACAGATCTTCCTGCAGGGCAGAGGTATCCATCAACATACACTATCAAGCCTAACAATATAACTCAGCTTGGAGGAAGGTGCCTTTCAAACCAGCCCCTTCCTCCATTATCCCTATACCTCTGTTAGTTAACTTTTGTTTCCCTTTTTTTAGGGGAGAGGGAAAAGGGGGACTGAAGCCCTCCAAGGTGTTCATCCAGAGGAATACTTCATTTCTTTCCCCTTTCCTCACCTTTATGCTCCAGGTCTTAGGGAGATATACCTCCACACAAGCTGGCAGCAACCCTGGCTGTGCAGCCAAGTGAGAGCCGTTTAGCATTGATGGCTTTATCACATCTTTCCAAATTGTTTCCTATAGTGCCAAAACCCGTACTACAAAATAAACGTGACCCATTTCACAGAGCTGTTAGTTACAAATTGAACTCATAAAACCAGACCTGATTTGAGGAATCTCAGTCCTGCTGCCAGGCAGTTGCATCCACCTTCCTTAGACATCCTCACTTTGTATGTTTCACATCAAAGAATAAAGCTTTGCACTCCCATGAACGTATTGCCACCTTTGCTATTAGTTTTTCTCTCACTACAGAGCTTTTCATTGTGTGTTCCAGCTTTCTCTCTATTCCTCATTACTAAAAAATGTTAATTGTTAATGCCTACATATACCATATGTTGACTTCCTACCTAACTTTGGATGAGTATGCACTCTGTCAGTCTTCCATTCCTTAGTCACTTGATTCCTCTCCCAAAAGGATATTGCAAACCCAGTAAGTCACAGCATGCCCCAAGAAAGATCCTTACCAGAAATGCCGACCAATTAAATTACTTGAGACACCAAAATAGCTTTAACAAAAAAGTTAATGATAGAGTACAGAAATATGATTTCTAAATAGTAGTATGTATGTTGTTGCAAAGAGTGCTTTAGAACTCAATTAAGCAGCTAAGAGCGTAAAATGAGATCAAGCTGTCTCAAGTGATATTTGCTGTCACTGGTTTATCACTGCCTAGCACCCACAGCAGCATCACTGTAGCAAGATGCATCCCTTGTGTGAAAAGGGATGCAGCCAGGTTTTGAAATTGTGCAAGCAAATAAAGGTTTTTATCCATAACATCGTAATGTATGTAGTACTACTACGTACGTCAACAATGCTGTCTGTGAGTCTGTTCTGCACCTCTAGGCTTCTCCCCCTTATGATCTATGAGAATGATTTGACAGTTTAATACTGCTTTGTGATACAAGGAGTTTAAGCTATCAGTCACATCCAGTCAAGATACAAGTCGCTTGGCAATATTATAAATTAGGATAATATTGGTTTACCTATTGTGAAGTCATCTCTCTGAGATGATGGATTTTCTGCTGTGAGCCAAAGGAAAAGTATTTTGATACAATAAAATGTTTACCTAGTGATATATTCCCATAATCTGGAAGCATCTTTTTAGAGCACTGTCTGTATGCTATCTATTTTCAAGGAACAGATGCAGGATAAGTATAATAGTCTAGCAGGTTGTGATGAATGTTTATATGCTCTGCATTATCTAATTGTGTGGTCAGGAATTCTAATGCTCAGGTCACACAATCTACAGTAAGATTATTGCAAAGCAGGTAGGTGGGATATTAGGCAATATGAATAAGAAGATGTAGATGTTCTAGAACATATTTGTGTTTATTTAAATTATTTCTTACTGTGAATCACAGATAAAGAGGGCTGGAATTTATTAGAGATAAAAGGTAAAAGCCAGATGATAAGGGGTATCCTTCCAGCTGTGAACAGCTTAGGAGAATGGATTCTGACCTGAGTTATTGTAGTCGCATCATTTTTACTCTCTGAAATTGAATAGGAATTGTAGGTGTTTTGTTTTGCTTTTCCCTCCTGGATGGTTCATCCTTTTTTTTTTTTTTTTTCTTGGTGGAAGAAAAAAAAAAAAGAAAAATCAGTGTATGTATTTGCAGAAAAACTGTTTTAATAGATTTAGTTTAAATCTTGTTTCAGCTGGTTTTAAGACTTATTTTGGAGATGCTTTTTTTCTGCTTCTCTATCAGAAGAAAAAATTATTTAGAAAAAGAGATTTGGGTTGTTTTCAAAACTAATTAAGATAATGGTAAGATTAAAAATCCTTTTGTGTTCACAAAACTCAAGAGGAAATTGAATTGTCCACTTCTGAATTCCCTCTAGGTGCGTACCGTTAATAAAACTTCAGTCTTTCTATCACAGACAGGGCAAGTAGGTAAGACTTTAGATATTAAATAAGCCTGATATTATTTTGCACTTGAAAATCAAAGTTCATTTCCCTATAGACTGTTGAATATCCTCTGTTGGATTTTTGGGGGATGTTTAATGTTGGGTTAACCTGCCTGTACATTTGTTTTAGAAAGTAAAGTATCATTTTAAAAACCAAAATGAAATGTATCCTTTTGAAAACAACAGTAAATATTTTGACCTCAAAATAATCATCACATCAAAGCAGCTCTAAATAGCACTCTCTTATTTCTCTGCTCATTTCCCATGAATGTTTGTAGTGGCTGATGAACAGAACTACAACAAATATTTGAATCCTGCTATTTATAAGATGAAAGTTGGAGATATTTTAATTTTCCAGTGTGAAGCCCTTAGGTAGGACAACCTAATACACAGAAATAAGATTTTTTAATTCTCTAAGGATTTAGCTGGTTTCTTCCATCCTGCTTTCTCAAAAAAGGCTGTAAATGATAGACATCTTCAATAATAATTTCATTTAGTCAGCACAGCACTGCCATCAACCTTGCCATCTTGCCATGATAATCAACCCTATGCTGCTTTTTTTTGTTAATTTTTTTCAGGTCTACCACATTTTCAAGAACAAAATGATTTAAAGGGATTACTAGAAAATCTTCATCAAAATATCCAGGCCAAAAAGAGGAAGAATGTAGAAATCATGTGGCTGGCTGCGACGGTGAGATTTTTTTTTTTCCCCAAATATATTCATATATATTGAATATATCTTTTCAATTATTTTTTTTTCAAATATATTCACATGATGTATTAATTTTCACATGCTTTTTGATATTACAAGTGAAATGGATTTCAAGAGTCTGGGTGGAAAACTCCAGTGATTAAACTAGGTAGCTAAAATGGTTCTCTAAGTTCTGTTCTGTTGATCTCACATACCATTTATTAATATCTCTCTTTTTCCTGCATTTACATTACAGATATTCTTTCTGTCTTCTAACTGAAAGGACTAGCCTGAGTACAAAGACAAAAGTGATCTTGGTCACGTTCTTGCCAGCATCTCCCAAGTTCTTTCCTTCCCAGCTTCTCCTAGGCAGGCAGTCTCTGGCCTGTACAGCTGCATGGAGCTGTTTTTCTCCAGTTCAGAAATTTGCATTTTTCTCAGTGAGATGCATTGCTGGCCTTTAACGTGGCACTCCATAACATATCCTTCTCTCCATACTGGGAAAGATATGGGCTTGGTGGGTGGACTGTTCAGTGAATGAAGAACTGGTTGCGGGATTGAGTGGTGGTCAATGGCTCCATGTCTAGGTGGAGAGCAGTGGTGAATGGTGTCCTCCAAGAGTCAGTGCTAGGACTGGGTGCTCCTTACTGTCTTCATCAGTGACATCGACAGTGGGATTGAGTGCACCCCCAGCAAGTCTGCTGATGACACCAAGCTGAGGGGTGCAGCCAACACACAGGAGAGACTGGATGCCATCCTGAGAGACCTAGATAGGCTAATCAGGCCCAGGTGAGCCTCATGAGGTTCTGCAAATTCAAATGCAAGGTCTTGCATTTGGGTCTAGGCAACCCCCATTACTAATATAAGCAGAGGGATAAAAGGATTGAGAGCAGTTAATTAAACTGGTGGATGGCAAGATGGACGTGAGCCAGCAATGTACCCTCAGCCCAGAAAGCCAACCCTATCCTGGGCTACATCAAAAGAAGTTTGGTCAGCAAGTCGAGGGAGGTTTTTATGTTCCAGTTGGTGCCTTGTCCTGTTGCTGGGCACCAGCGAAAAGAGCCTGGCCCCATTCTCTTCACCCCCACGCTTTAGATATTTATATAGTTTAGAAATTCCCTTTCAACCTTCTCTTCTCCAACGTACATTTTGCACACGTAGGTTAAAAACAAACTCAAGCAGATAGATGTTTGTAAAGAGCTCAGACTTTTGAGAAGCGTGGAAATCAATTAGATAATTGCCTTAAATGCAGAAAAGTGCCCTTGCTGGCAGAGTCTTGAGCCTTTGCTATCTGCTTACAGTGAAAAGTAAGACCTTGTGTTTTGGGGAGCTTTCAAATGCATATGCCCTTTAAGGTAGATAAATATTTGATATAAAATATTAATAAAATTTTGCATGACTTTTCATTAACACAAGGAGCACAAAGAATATTAATTATATCTTTACTAACAATACCAGCATTATTTTTTATATTGCTAATACAATTTTCATTTTGGATAAGTATTATCACATGCTATTTGAAGTATAAATCTTTTGTAAGTAAAAATGTAAGCTTTTTTTTCCCCAGTATCATTTTTGCAATTACTATGAAACGTTGCTTTGCAAAGATAAGATAAATCAGTATAGAATAATGTGAAATCAGCTACAAAGAGGATGATGGAATTTACTTAATCATTGGACATAGAAAGTTGTCTTCTACTATCTATGCAGGATTTTTTGAAAATTATGTCATGGGTAAAAAGAAGTTCTTTGGACATTAAAAAAAAAGTTTCAATTTTTTTTCCTTCAGAATATTATTTTTTTCTCAAGCTACTTTACTGTAAGCTTCTGAAATGGGTATTTCTGGACCCACTTCTATACACACTGCTGTACTGTATCACAGTATGGTGGAAGGACAGATTCTCAGCTGTAAGAACATCACTGTTACAGCAGTAGATAAATGAGATTCTACGTGGTTATGCATATGTAACTATACCTGCAAGTAGTCTTGTGAGAATACATCTGCTTAAAAAAAAATAAAATCTGCAAATTGATATCACAAATATTTCTTATTCTAAATAAACGTAGCAGAAAAGATTTAAATGTGGTGTATTTTTACTTCCTAAGCTGGACCCTTAATCTTCTGTTTTATTTCAGGAGGAAATAACTGGAATATTGATTTTTCCTTGTTTTAGTCTCCACTGTTTTATGTGCTTTTTCATTGGTTTACATCCTCTTTAAAATTAAGTACAGTCCTAATCATTTAAATCTAAGTTTCTGTGGAAAACTCCTTTGAGGCCATTTAGAAGAAATACACGTGTCCTATATCTCCAATATATTTTGGGAATCAGTTGAGCAAAAGTGAGGATAAAAGTCAAGCTGGACACTTAGTGTAAGCTGTTGATTCTGATATTATGATGTTACCATAGATTAGGTACCATATCTCACTAGATTTCTTGACCATCTCATCGTTTGCCCATTTTAATTATTTACTTTTGCCATTCCTGCTTAGTGAACAGAGTTATTTCTGAGGATTTATTTGTGCCAGCCTATCAGGTTAACCTAGATTTCTCTTAGATCATAATCATATTTTTTTTATTATTGAATGTAATGGATTGATTTCCATTTAAACCACTTTAACATGATTGAGCCATTTCTACTGACCTTATAGGCAAAATAAACCCTCCCATTTGTGGTCACCCATTTGTTTGTTTTCCCTAAAACGCTTCTCAGTTCAAAACTGACTCTCTGTTGCCAGCACTTCAGTCAGATGCTGTCAGCTCAGATTTGGGACTTAGTCTCCCCTTCTTGCACCGGAGGTCATCACCCATCCAGAATAATTACCTGCTTTTTGCTTATGACTCATTCACTTCAAATAGTCATGATGACTCATGAACTTCAAAAGAGGGAAGTATAAAGAGAATTAATCTTCTCAATTAGAAGCAGTTATCTTCTTCAGAGTGTTATCAACCCTACTTGATACTTTCTCAAAATAATAATTGTCTTTTAATACATAATTTAAATCCCCATGCCATTTCCCACATTTCTAGTAGATGTTTTAAAATTTGAACATATAGAAGGAAAGAAACACTCATAGATTCTACTTAATAACATGTACTTCTTAGGGTTCAAAGTTGGGCTCAGTTAATTCCCTTGGCTCAGCTTTTGAGATGTCCCTCACCATAATGGTACAGAGACCTTAAAGACCATGTAAGTGTTGTCTGGGTCATTGTTTTTAATAGAATTTCTGGGAATGCCATTACTGTGGATAAAATGTGCTTGTTTACTGAAGTGAGGTTCTGAAGATTCAGAAGTTCTGGAACTGAAGATCTAGTTTCATCCTGATGCTAAGTAAACACTCTATAGCCAGGCTGAAAAGTTGATTGGGCTTAGGCCTAAATAATTTATGGCCTTACCTTATTCTCCTGATGTTTTTTTTTTTTTATATTGTCTTGCTACAACTGTCCAGGGACAGAAGTTTGGTAGATATGGTGTTAACCTTTCTTAGGACAATTGAAATCAGGAAAAATAGACCCATGCTTGGAGCACATCAATGCTCTTCAAATTTTTCTTCTGATAAACACTTGCTTGAACCAAAAGCTTTTTTTAATAAGGCTGATACAATGGCAGATTCATTACACAAGAAATGATCATGATTCCCTTATCCCTTAAAAGTGTCGAAATGCTGGGTGAAAGTAAGCAAACCATGGCATTTGTTTACATTAAGATTTCATTGTTCTGGATCATATGTTGAATGGTTTAGCTGTTGAAAAATAGACTGTATTTAAATTCCGTACAAAGAGAGATGCGTGTGAACTTGACACCCTCATGAGAAATTGGTCCTCTGTGTTCATGAGTCTGAGTTAAGAATAACTTGCCAAAGTTTTTCTGTGCTTTGTTGGTTTTTTTTTTCCAAAATTCATTAGGTGTTCAGGCAATTAAGCTTTAATTGAATAGGATGATTGTCACAGAAAGAAAGATTAAATGAAGCAACTTTTCGTTTTATGGCCTATATTGAAACAGTCACTTTTTATTTCAGGAATTTGGAAATTTGGATGCAATGGTTTACTAACCACCTGTAACAGGTGTAGATTTTAGTAACTAGCTTATCATGCTAGGGATGGAGAGTAGTAGACTCATCGGTTTCCTGCTTCACTAAGGCTGGGATGTGGGGGCAGAACTGAGACTTGATTGATCTCCTTATAATAGAGAATGGGGCCATCTTTTGTTTGAAATGTTTTGTATTGTAGCTGCACCGCTTGGGCATTGCACGTCTCCCTGCTTTGTACAAAGCCTGTTTCTCATCAGTCCATATACAAAACATGGTGCATGTGTCACAGTGCTGTGATCACTGACTTTTAATGATAAAACAGAAGGCAAGACCTTTTACTGAAATAAAAGTAGATAATTTGTGTGTAGTACTTGTGCATAAAGCGTGTATTTGAAGGAGCAAGAGATGCTTTAACTACAGTAAATACCAGGGTAGCAAAACAAATCTGTAAAGTGCAACTTCAGTGGAAGACTGTGCAGCTCCCTCCTAAAACCAATAAGGACTTCTTTTTCTTTAGTGAGCAGGTTATTTATGGGCTTATCCTGATAGTGGAAACCCTTAAGATCTGCTTTTAAAATCTTTAATTTTGACAAATTGGAAATGGACTATAGATCAGAGGCTGTAATCTTAGGGTATTATTTTGGTAGAGTGTTAGTTCTGCGAGTTTATAAACAAAAGGTAAATTTACTGTCCCTTTCAGCACAGAATGTTCACCTTTTGTGCCAGTGTGACAGGCCACCATGGGCGTAATCCTCAGAATGTGACAGTCCCCAGGCAGCACTAATAACTGATGTAAGGACATGCTTGTCGGCAGCCTTATGACAGAGGTTTGAGCCACTATCTTGTAATAGCAGCTTTCTTCCTGAGAAACGTTGTTATTTGTATGTGGTTGTAAACTGTGGGATTTTCCAGGTCTGCTAACGTGCAGAGAATTAAGTGTGAAAAGAGCAGCCCTCTGACATGTGCCCGTGTTTCAGATTTGCCGTAAGCTGAATGGAGTCCGCTTCACCTGTTGCAAAAGTGCCAAAGACCGGACATCCATGTCAGTGACGTTGGAGCAGTGCTCCATCTTAAGGGACGAGCATCAGCTTCACAAAGACTTCTTTATTCGAGCACTGGATTGTATGAGAAGGTATGTGATGGTTATTGCATATCCCCTGCTTTTTGAGCTGAGCTGAACCAGGAATTGCAAAACTGGCCAAAGCCAGTTGCAAATGCATGATAGGTCCCGGTCCTGATTTAGCACTGTGCCAGCTATGATTCACTTCTGCATGCAAGGACTGTATTTTAGCACTAATGAACAGTTTCTGAGATGTGAAACTCTGCAGAGTGCCACTCCACTGACTGAAGAATTTGACGAGGGTAAAGAGCCATCATTTTAACAAAGCCTTAGGCTTTCATGAAGCTTAAAATTTTAACAACGTTCTATGACTGTATACAAAAAAGAGTTATTTTTTGTTTTTAGAATGTTTCTGAAATGTTTATATGCTCGCTAAAACATCTGTATAAAATTTAGGGAAACTGAGAAAACTAAAGCTTTTTTTAGAGATGACAATTCTTATTATGTCATGTTATTAAAAGTAAAAGAAAAAAATGCAGTTTTTGATTGATGGTGGTTGCCAATAACATTTGATAAAAAATTTTTGTTGTGGAAAGCATACAAAAAACTCTGTTTCATTCTAAATTGCAGAGATGCAATTAATGCTGATATAGTGAGAAATGAGTAATTTACAGATGTAAAGATTTTTGATTATCTGAATCTTGTAATTGGAGAAAAAAAAAAAAAAAGAAAACCACCGAGCAAACAAGTTTTGATCACGGAATGAATCCGTGTGCTATCTTCTCTAAAGAAACTGTTTCATTACTGGCATTAACGAGTGCTGCGTTGTATATTCTGTAAGAGTTTACTCAAGTCATATCCAACAAACATCCCTGCAAGACTAATAGAAAATGTTCTGGTCAGCCTGCAAAGAAGTAATTGAATTTTATCTTGCACTTCTGTGAAACACAATGTGACTGCGTGTTGGATTTTGTGTCAAAGTAACAATTGTGTTTATGTCTGTAATTGAACATTCTTGACTTCAATATTTGGTTTTATCAGGTTAGGAGTTTAAAGTTGAGGTTAATCTGTAGGTTACACAGGCAAGGTCATTTGTTTTTTTAGCAAAGGTTAATTTTCTAACAAAAAAACCCCGTAATTTTACATTAAGTAATTGAGCAGAGTGCTGAAAAGGCATAAAACTGTAGTTGGTTTGCAAGTTGCTAGTGCAGTGTGATGTATTAAACTGAGGTATCATTTTGTATGTATCATTAGCTTGCATATGTCCCTTAGTCTCTGCGGTACTTCAGTGAGTGAATGACTCCTGTGTGCAGCCTTTCATAACTACATGTTTTATCATTAATGAAAAATTTGAGTTTTCTGTGTTAAGTTCCATTTGTGTTGGCATTTCAAATATGTTTTTTTTTAAATGTCTCCGATACATATGATAGAATGTAAGTTTGAGTACACTGTCAGATACAAACAAACTAGTTATATGAAATTATTATGTGGAATACCATTGAAAGAGAGACTGTAAAAATTTCACAGATATAGATCTGATTTAAAAAAAAAAAAAAAAAAGAAAAAAAGACCAACATTTTTATAAACCAATTTGTTAAAGTGGAAGTGAAGTATAGAAGGATTTTGCAGACTGAAATGCAAAGGACTTTACATGCTTTTATATTACATAACTGATTTGAAATCTGAGATGATTAACACATTAGTTATATTGGCAGGTAACAGTAAATTAGCATCGCAGAAGAAAGGTGAAAAGCCAGAAAGTCTGCAGAAAACTTATCAAGTAAATGAGCAGATGGATATATGAGGCTGAAGCAACATCATAAATGTGATTTTTGTTTTTCCTGTAGTTTTAAATAGATAAAAGCTTTTTCCTGCTAATATCTGGCAAATGAATTTCAAACACCCTTGAACTGAAGCAGTTGCCTTTTGTTGCGTTTATTCAAGGCAATAACATTGACTTGGATGCTAGGATTGTCTGGGATTTGAAGCAAGGTCCTTGAAAGTAGCGGCAGTAGCATATAAATTTAGCCTATACCATCAGGAACACAAATAATATAAATCTGGATCTAACAAATAAATCTGTTGTTTCTGCTGGTTTGTATCTGCATTGCACTATGCACACAACCCTTGGTTAGAAGAAAGAAGAGCTGCAAACGTTTTTGCCCTCTTGAGCTAGTGAAGGAAGGCTCAAAAATTCAAAACAGAAGTATAAAAATGTCCAATTTTACAGAATATTTAACTTCATTGTATTGCTATTGAGAGTTGGTCAGACAATTCTAGGGGCTGACTTTGTCTTGTTTTTTCAATTTTTTTTTTTTTTTTTTGACAAATATGTAAGGAATGCAGTAAGTTGTTATACTTTCAGCAGGGCTCCTTCTGCTTTACCACTGCCCTTCTGTTGCCAGAGGAGCTGGTGGAGCAGCTCCAAAAGCTGCACTGTCTTTTTTCAGTTTCTCCCTCTCCACTGGCCAGAGACTCAGCAAGGCCCCTCTGGCTGTGCTCTCTTGTTGAAGAGAGTTGAACAAAGGCGAATTGCAGGGAAACACAATTTGTGAGAGCAAACTGGGAAGGAAAGAACAGTAAGGCAAAAGGGAAGGAGAAAAAGGCATAATTTCCACACAAGGATCTATAATGGCATTTCAGCTAAGTCTCCTGTATTTTATTTGAGGAAACTTTCACAGCTGTATTTCTGGGGTTTGTGTGAATAAGGTCAACAGATTGTTTGTCACTTGTTATAATGCTTGCCTTTTCATCCTTTCTTATGATTGCTATTACAGAGTGTTAGTTAAAATTGCACATTTTTAGGCCTTTTATTGACTACTTGTTAGGAGCTTTTAGATTGATTTTCACATCTAGAAGAATGCATTTTGTTTTTAGAAGGAAGGGAAAATACTCTGGTCACCTTTTAATTTATAATTTATGCAATGTTTCCCAATGAATCGCCTCTAGATAACTGTGTTAAACCTTCTCAAACAAACTCCTTTATGCTTGATTGCTGCAAATCACTTTTAAGCCTTTCAAAAGAACAAGTAGGCAAGAAAAACTCAGTTTTAGCATCCAGAATCCTAACAGACTGGATTGATCTTTGAAAGGCTTCTTTCAAGGATTAACAGTGGGAGATAGAGTATTGTGAAACAAAGAGTGTTGTAAAAGCAGATGGAGATTCAAAAGCAGCCATGAGTTTGAGCTACAAAAATCAGAAAGGTTCCCTGGGTATCTGCAAAGCTTTTTTTTTTCCTGCCATTGCTGTTGCAGCTTTGGTAGCTTTTGTAAAAAGGCAAGCATGGGCCTATGGGCTTGTGTACTCATGCCGTCAGGGGAAGTTGTGTGATGCTGGACTCATGTGCTGCTGTCTTTTGGCTTTGGTAGTGTACCTGCATGCCTTCAAATTTTGAGTAAATCAGAAGCAATTTCAGATGTTGTTCTTTGTTTGCTTTTGTGTACATTGAATGATGCTTTTTTGAAAAACACAGCCAGTAGCTAGTAAGCTATTATGTAGCAAATTAATTCATTAGCATATTTAGTATCTTATACTGATAACAGTATGAAGTTTAAAGCTGTGCAAAAATTCTTCCACTAGTTGTCTCTTCAGCTTATGAAAAATGTGAAATCATGGTAGGAATTGAAGCTCTATCAATATTTAGAATGTAGCTTTGCCTTCTGGGTGCAATTCTAGCCATTATGATGCTGCACCTACAGTGTCTGTAAAAGCAAGAGGGACTATTCCATAAACAGTTCTGCATCCTCTAGTTTACTTGGTAGATGTTTGTGAATTCCATTGATCTTATTGGCGTTCATAGCACAGAGTGAGGCGAATCAATGCAAGCAATCTTTATCAAGTGCTTGTAATTCTCATAATATTGAAATAATTTTCCATTGTTACTGCCACTTTCAAATCACGATTTTTTGCAGTCAGTATTGTTTCCATACTTCTGTGTTTGCCAGTGCATGGATGTGCCTTATCATTCATCATCAACGGTATTCCAAGACAGAGCAAAGAGGCAAAACTGATTTCCTGAGTGCTTTTATTCCTCAAAGCTGGACACTGCTTAAAGAAAGTTGAACACTGGTAGGCAGCACTCTATCAAGCAGTTTTGTAAAACTCTTTCGATTTTCTTTTCTGAACCTATTAAATTTTAATGTTTCAGTGGCAGAGCCTCTTTTGGAGTCCTTGGGTAGTACAAAACCTCAGAATTTTCTGGTTTTTGAACGTGTTTCCAATAAAGCCTCAAAAATAAGTAAATGATGTGACAAATCCACTGTGCACAATTAAATTTCCAGGCTTTCAGTCTTGTCATCGTTCTTAGTAGAGCACAATACCTGTCAGATACTCCGGACATTGAATACTAAATTTCTCTCAATATAAGATGTGGTTTTTTTCTGAAACACCAGTCAAGGATATTTCAGATGATTTTAGATAAATGGCCTATCAAAAAATCTGACTCAAATGCAAGTAAAAAGAATGAATGGTCTGGGCAACAAGGAATGGACTTCTGATGGCCTAACTATGAAGCAAATTGCTTCTTCTCAAACATGTTTGAAGGCATCTTTTCTTAAAGATCATCTTAAAGATGTGTAAATTGAGAAGGGATGGTTTCAATACTATAGTTGTAGCACTTTAATCACCCAAAGGTTATCTAGATGGAAGTTCAATCTGAAGGACCTCTCTGATGGAAAGGCCTATGCCAAAAACAGTACAGTGCTGTGATTCCTACAGCTTAGGAACCAGGAGCAAAGTGACAGAGTGAGAGGCAGGCATCCATATGCAGATCTTTCTTGACTTCTCTCCTATTTCCTGGCTTTCACTTTATCCCTGTGAGTTTGCAGTAGTAGATGGAGGACAAGTGGTTACACAGAAGAGAAAGCATGTGTTCTCTAACTTTTTCTTTCAGTACCTATCAGATCTTCCCCGTCTTTCTTTGTTGTTTTTCTGTGGGAATCTTAAGTTCTGTGAACAAAATTTTTGTTCTAAGCCAAGCTCTCCCTTAAAGGCTCTCTCACTGGTCTGTGGTTCTTGAGAAATATAACATTTTTATTATGAAGTAGAAACTTCAAATGGAAAGATTTACACT